ATCAGAATGTCGACCCAACATGCGAGGTCACATGAGAATAGGAACGCGCAAACGAGCAAAGGCGTTCCATCAGCGTAGAGTTGCTCCAGTACTGCAGTGGCAACAAGTCAGTGCTGCCTGGCCTCCTGGTGGTGATGCATGAAAACGGGTGAAACCCGATCTTGAAGGCCACTCGCTGCATGACATACATTTAGGCTTTGATCGATCAGGGGCTTCCCTATTAGATGCTCGACTCCTTATGACAACAGATATATTGTGACCACTGGGGAGGGTTGTCTAGGTACCGCCAGTTCAAAATATGTTTCAATCTGTCTGGCTCCGCAGCGGAGTAGCGACTAGCGCGCACCATTTGCCCTCGATGGTAAAGGGCGCCTACAGATGCGCGTTTGAAATTGCGCAATCCGGTCGCTTCAAAGTGGATGTTTTCGCGGCTGCCAGAAATTACGCTGGCTAAAGTGGACTCAGACTACATAAATTAATTGTTTTTTTTCGCAGTGCATGCGGAATGAATGCGTGCATGTAAGGAGCGAAGTAACTGCTCGATACGGAGCTAGGATCTTCACGTAGTGCAACGCTGGCATGCATAGTCACAGTTCACTGTACGGCTGATATGTAGTACTTGTTCGCCCAGGCCTGAACATACTGCCTCTCATCAGGCTAATGGGCCGAATTAGGAAATTGCAGAGACTGAAAAGGAGCTCCATAGGACCGGAGTCCTACGTGGGCCAGAAAGTCAGCTTGGTACACGAGCAGGACGGTGTCAAAACCGCAGTAAACCAACATAGAGAAAAGAAGGTGAGAGGATTGCAAGCACGGAAATTCTTGGTTCGCTGAGGACCCGCGCTTCATGGCGGTGTGTTTTTCCATCCAAACAGCGAGATATGCTTCCCCAAATTGGAGATACACACTAGGAAAAGAAGGGCCAAATAGCACTTTTGCGAACACACATAAAACGCATTTCATCAAAGTTCTGCACGCTAAGAACACAAAAATAACACAAACCCGTAAACTTTGTACACGTTTGAACACGTGTTATATGGCCCTTTTTTCACCAGTGGAATGCGGCCAGTGAGCAGTAATAGAATCCAAAAATCAATACTGTATTGATTTTCACATCTACATTAATGTTGAGGCTTGCGGTGAGGAACGGCGATTGGCGCAATCATGTGTATCTCTGCAAGACTACCAACGTGAAATTTGGGCCGATTTGTAGTGCGGTTGACGCATGCAGGCACAGTGTCGTCCAGAAGACCGAATTCGAACAACTGATGCGATTTGCGCGCTAAGAGCGGAGCGTTTCAGCAGAAAAACTTACTGCGAAGATCGAAAATATTGTGAACCTCTTGATATGAAAACAAACGAATATATTTACTGAGACATGCAAAAGCCACATGCCACAGACGTGTGTAAATGCGCCCCTCTGACAGCTTCTTGGGATTCCTATGCGCTTCCTCAGGATGCCTCAAGCGCCAACGCAGTGACGGCCATCGGGGAGGCTGGCCGCACCGCAGCACAGCGCAGGGGAAAGAGGATGTCGCGCGCGGGACCGCAGGAGCCGTTAAAAGATGCAGCGTGTGTTTCAAAACCGCCGACCTCCGGCATCGGGGCATTCAACCCGGGAGGCGGTGGGCAGCAAGGCAAGAAGGGACTGCCCCGGAGCTGGACGCTGGAGCAGGAAGTGGAGCTGTCAGATCTCGGGCTGGAAATCAAGGAGCGCGTCGGGTTGGTTTTCGAGGAGAACAGGGGATCGTCCAAGATCGCCGCCTCCTTCTTTGCGGTCACCCTGGGCCACAAATTTTTCATGGCCATCGTCATCGGCGTCGCGGCAGGTGGCGCTCCGAGAGCATCCAGTGGGGATGGCAGTCAGCAGTTGACGGGCCCCGAGCACAATTGCTGTAGATATGCAGCTGCGGCAAAATGTGTTTGTTACCAAATATGTTCCTTCATGTGCGTGACCATAGTGTACGCAGCCGGGCAACACGCAGCCCGCGAATTTGGCCTTGAGACCCGAGCTTTGTCTACCGTGCATGTCCAGAAAATATGGGTAAAATGTTTCATGGGCAGATAATCTGTTTGTGTGGTACGGCACACGCGCCCTCTCTGCTTCTTTGCCTTCTTTGCCTTCTTTGCTTGTCTTGTCAACAGCAATGGTGGCTTGTTCGGGCCACGCACTGGGACCAGCGCACACGGTGCATTCCCGCCTCCTCCCAATAGCGCAAGCCACGTACCGTAGACTTTTGAAACTCTCCGCATAGTAACGTAACGCTTGGCCTATTTTGCGGACAAAACAATAAAACAAATAACGATTTGTTGACAAAGTTTTGGCGGAGCAACGTAAAGGAAGAAAAACAACGCTCCGAAACACAGTATCCGGAGCAAATAGGAAAACCGTAAACTCTCTCGATGCGGAAGGGTGAATAGGCCACGGTAGCAAGCGAAACGCCCATCGCTGCTGAGCCTCGCGGTCGCCTCCATTCCCCATGGCGCACATGACAAACGCAAGGCGGCCCCACATTCCTTGCATTCGGCCTTACTAAAGACATGTACCAGAGCATGAAACTAGTCGCTCTGTCTTTTCCGTGCAGATCCCTTCTCGTTTCGACAAACTAACCCCTAAACACTGACCCACTGACCGACGTTGGCCTTGTCAGCAGAAGAAGAAGGGATCCTCACGGAACGGAGAGACTAATACATTCGCTGTACCTTACTCGCACCTTTGCCGCCTGCGCAGGCAGCGGCGTGAAGCCCAGCACGATGGCATCCGTGGCGGTGGCGTGGGTGGCGGTCTTGGGGCAGCTCACGTACGCCGCCGTGACGACTCAGGCCAGGCCCAACATCGACAGGTTCAAGTGGACGTCCAGCGTCCTGTCCATGTGGCTGCAGGCCGCCGCCTACCTCTGCGCAGCCGTCTACGAGGCCGCCTCCAATAGCACGCTGCTGGTCAGCAATGCCGGGCGAACGGCCGCGCGAGGACCCAGCGGCGGCGCTGGAGCGCGCGGCGCAGCAGCGTCGTCGCGTTGCGCGCATCAACATGGATCCAATGCATTTTAATGGATCCGTTGCAGTTTAGTGAATCCCATGCATATTGCGCCGTTGGCGACCCTCCCTTGCGTCATCCCGAGGGATCGGTGCATTGAATGGTGCACCTGCTGCTGATAGACTAGCGCCCAAAACTTTTGCGGCCGCGCTTGCAGCGTTTCAAGATTTTGATGCTACAACATGTGGTCACGTTTCAATCCCTCATGTGTTGTTCCGTTTTCAAATATGACGATACAAGTGTGCTGTCCCATAGTATTACTATTCCTAGAGGGACAGGGACCATGCACGTTGTCAGGCCGACATTCTTCCCACGCTGTTGAACTGAGTTCATATTCAGGAATGTGCGAACAAGGGACCCAGGAATAAGGTCCTCAAGGCACGCAAGTGTGCACGCCTAGGCATTGAATATGCCTCAGCTGTCGTATTGGGCACGTCCCGCGTATCACAACGATGTGCTCATTCACAACAGGAAACGATTTTGTCCATGGCTGTGCACAGGATGCGGTCTTCTACCTCCAGCTCATGGCGGTGATGGTGCAGCTGCTGTTTGTCTACTTGCTGACACTGCTCAAGGTCTTCGCCGTCGTCCGCATCAGGAAGGAGATCGCCGTGGTGGTCGAAAAGTACGAGGAGGAAAAGCGCATCGAAGAGGCCGAAAATAACCCCGCAACGGGAGGCACACCGCCGGCCACGCAGCTGCCACCTCCAAGGCCGCCAAAACGGGGCAGGTGGGTTTTCACGAGGCCCTTTCTGCACTTCGCGACCTGGAGAAAGATGGGGACGGTGAAAGCGCAGGGCGATCGACAGCCGACAGAGCCGCTGCGGCCGGCAGAAGATGCACAGCCGGCATACGCGTGGCCAAGCCTGGAGGAAGTGGAGCCCGCCGTCCAGAAAGAGGCAGGCCAAAAGCTGGACAGGGGTCGCCAGGCCAAACCCTGGAAGGCCAAGGCCGGGTGGAGGACTTGAGGGTGTGACCAGGAAGCCCAGCCGGGTAGGGACTCCCGGCATCCATGAGTTCAAAGTCAATGTGGCGCTGGACCGGTACCATGCGGGCTCGGAAGGGTGTGCTCGGACGTGGCACGGCAGAAGCCGCGTGGATGTTGAGCATGTCACGGAGCATCCAAGGGCGCCCGCAGAGGAAAGAGCGCTGTTCAAGTTGACACGGGTGGAAGTAGCACTGCCGGATAAAGCACCGTGCACTTGCAGCCCATTGGCAGAGGGGCCGTCCGAAAGGCACTGAATGCCGGCGCTACATGGGCATCTGTGAACACGGTCCAGTAGCCCGACAATCCGTGTTGTGGGAGCACGCTTGTTGGCCGACTAGCAGGGATCAATGCCGATGAGAGAAAAGGCATGAAATGAATCGACACATGCTGGAAAAGTGTCACTGACGTCACCCTGTATAGAAAACTGGTTCACTTTCAAGGGAACACAACAGCAACAGTTTTGGCACGATACACTGATAGTGTCTACTTTTGCAACGCAGTCTCAGCACACCACAGGTGCATTCCACCGTACCGTTAACACAGATCTGACAAGGCGACAAAGCTCGGTCCACGATGATCAGATTACACACCTAACTGATGGCTAACTCATGGCTCCCGAATAGCGTGGCGAATTTTACCCATTAACAAACGGAAAAGGATCAAGGGAGGGTGTAACACATCCCAGTGTGCCTCAATTGTTGTACATTAGCGACCCCTGTTCACGCCCCCGATGCGCGCCACTCGAAATCCGGGCGTGCCCTATGCGCCTTCACATTGGCTTCCTGAACGCCGCCGCAGCGCCCATTCACTCGATGTGCACCGCCAACATTGCATTCAGCCCACACGCCAAGCAACCGCCCGCGCTCAACAACACAACTGCCATTGGCTGCCGCTGTTGAAGAGGTGTGCAGAGCGGCAAGCAATGGGCGGACACCTCCAGGCTGTTGGATGCACTGTGGCGCTTGCTCAGTCCAGTCACGAGTTGTTGTCAACGGGCGCAAAGCCATCATTTGCTTGTGGGTCTGGCCCAGTTCCGGCGGGTGGAGTGGCGGGCGACCCACTAGCTACTGCGCAGATGGATTGGCACTGCGCCTCCAGCGCCTCCTGCGTTGGCTGGAAGATCTCGACGCTTGTTGTGTCGCCCTGCATTTGCATTTATCGGCATCATCATCATCATCATCATCATTACTTTTACATGACAAGGCATGGGGTAGCCGTCAGGTTCCTAGCAAAGCCGTGCCTATGATCAGTTCATGAAAATCTAATGTATAACACAAACGAAGTCCCCGAATCTATCAACTCCAAATGCCATTGCATTCACATTCACGCAATCAACGAGCCTCGGACAATCAGTTTTGCGATGGCCATACAGCACACGCGACAGAAGCATAAGGCAGCACAGGCAACGGCGTGTGATCGTCCTTGCAAAGCGCTCGGAAGTTTGCAGCCAACTCCACGCGGGGCACGTGCTTTCCCGGCCTGCCAGGGCAACGCCATGCAGTAGTGGGGAGTCCTGGCCGCCATGGCAGCTCTTACCACGCCAACAGGTGGCAAGCAGTCGTGAACAAATGAGGAACAGAGCCAACGGGCTGGCTGTGTAATGCCTGTCAATGCGTTTCATGCACAAGCGCACAATTTCATGCAAAGGAAAACAAGCTATTGAAAACGGATTCGCCCAAGATAATTTGGCACAATCAGCAAAACAACACGCTGCCCAATGCAGAGACTCACGGCAGAACAACATCCATACAGAAACAGTGACTGTGCAGAAAGAGTAGTACACCATAGTGCTAGCAAAAGTATTAGTAAACTACTAGTAAATGTTGTAGTATAGTGGTTTGGCGATCGCACATGTTCAATGTGACAACAGCCGGTTGCCTAAGAGCGCTACCAAACATGAAAACAAATCTCCCTCCACTGCATCTTGACATTCGCGAGAAATTGCGCATGCAGTGTTGTGGAGTGCACTCACCGAGGGGCAGGTGATCCTGGTGGTGGTGTTCCCTCCGATGTTGTATACGCAGTGGTCTGGCAGGATGGCGGCCGCATCGCAGTTCCACCACCTCGTGTTGAAGCAAGTGACGGAACGGCACCAGTCACAAGACGTGTAGCCCTCGTACTTCATCAGCAATCCAATTGTGGCCACCACAAATATGGCAATAACTAAAACGCTGAACAGGATTTGCAGCCCGAGGATCAACGCCTCGCCGATGGTCGCGCCTGCGCCCTGGTGGGTACACAAAATGCAAGCCAAGCTCTGTTGCAGAGCACAGTGAAGCAAAAGGGGCAGCTAAACTTGTGTCTTTGAATTGGCCTTCAACGTGACAAAGCGGTGCCCTCGCACCTTGACGGTGGCAGGCGTGTCTACATCCAAGCACGTTCACAAAATGAGCTTGCACCCTGTTTCCAGGAACGTTTTTCAGCTAAAGTGTAGCGGCTTGCCCATCCAAAAAGCCACACCTGCCTTGCTACCAACCAAGAGCACTGACAGAGCTGGCCTGATCATGATCATGACCACTTGATCAAGTGGTCAAAATGCACTGCACAAGCCTGTTGTGCAGCAGCTCAGCATGTCTTGCACACATTGCTTAGGTGCAGCAATGGTCAACGTTCAAATTGGCACATGAACTCGATGGATGTCACGATCTGGCAGGGTCTGATTACACACACAGTTGTTGCACACCACACAAGCGAGAAGTGGCAGCACTGCAAGTGCACATCAGATATTGTGGTGGACAGTTTCATCAACCCTGAATGCTGCTAACCCTGACGCAACCCCCAATCCCTCCAACAGCAAGTGCAAAAGAACTGGAGGCCAGCATGTGTGCTGCACACATCGAATGGAACTCAGGTGCTGCCATGATTGCATCCTTTCTCCACAATACAGATGTGTGCCCTTAGCAATTCAGGACACTTCTGAAGAGGCACATTATGCGATCACGCTATTCAGTTCAAAATGCCCAATTGACAAACAGACTGTAAAAAATACGTGCACAAGAGGGTCCATCAATGCCTTCAAGGCCAGACAGCTGTGTACAATAGTATTTCATTTTCAACAAAAGCACTTATGAGCATGATCGCATAATTCAATGGGCCCAAAACCAAAGTGCATTGCGATGGCGAACATGCGCCGAACGCTGTGGCTGCCACAAGGTTGGGACCTGTCAACATGCCACAATATGGGCCTTCGATTATCAGCAATTGTACATGGCCTGGGTATAGACACGAAACTGGTGAAATGGACATGCTTCTGTGTCAGTGTCATTGCTCGCTTCTCACATGTCTGTGGCCCAAAATGATGGCTGCTCCAGACAGGGTGCCACAGAGCAGGCCCCCGATTGCAGCCCAGTTGTCAACGAGGGGCGTCAGCCCAATGACAGCATTCATGGCACCCACGCCCAACAGGGTGAGACTGGAGATGCCCCGGTTGGCGTACGTCTCCTTGTGCAACATAATCTCAAAGAGAACGGTCCCTGGCATAATGGCAGACAGAAGAATGATCAGGGCAAAACCATTGATCTGCTTTAATCGCCACCCACCCAGAACCCTGATGGATTGACAGAAACATGGCAATGCAGCCTGCGAAGTGCAAAATTGTTCTGCATTTCGTCACAATAATTTATCAACAAAGAGTGGAGCTGCGCCAAGGCCATGACACACAAATGGACTGTGTCCAGATTTGTCCGCTCATTAACTTCCATCTGCAATGAAAACCATCGAAGTCCTTCTCAAAGTCATGGAGTGTAAGGTCTTTATAAACGTTGATAGCGCTTCATAGGCAATAACAGTTCCCTCAAGTGTATGATGAGATCGCCGCAAGGCAATGCAAGAGGGGAGTGCGCATAACAGGATATACCCACAGGTGCATGCATTGCTTTGTGAGGCACTAACCATTGCTAAATTTGGGGTCATGGTTTACGATTTTTCCACTACATAATTATTCACCACCGATTACCTGACTAGGTAACAACTGCAATGAACATTGCCATCCAAACCAACTTTGACAGATTCATGGTCATGACACACATCCAAGCAGCCATTCCGCAAATCTGCATCCACTGCGGCACTTCAGCACACCAACAGCAGCAACTCTTACCAATACTCCACCCAACAGCCATCGCATTTCAACATGCATTCTCAGCAATCAGTAGTCAGTAATCAGTCAGTAATACAAGACAATCAGCTTTCACGTGTAGTCCAATTCGTGCATTGCTCAGTCAAAATCAGAATTAACAGTGCAAGATGTTGATTGAAAGGTAGACTTTCAATCCTCACCTTTCCAGGAACAATGGTACGACTAAGTACCACAAAGCACTGTGGAGAGCACAACAGGTAGCAACCCGCAAGTGCAAGGATCTTGTACCTCACAGCTGTACATGGAGTCACAAGCAATCCACGACAGGCATCGCTCACCGAGCAATCCAAAAACTGCTCCTGATGCACCCGCTGTCACCAGGGTGGTTGAAAAGTTGGCAGACAAAAGCACACCAGCCAACCCGCTGACCATGTACAATGTACCTGTACACAGAAAGCAATTAGCACACCGTGTCATTGCTTCTGATCACATTAGAAGGGAGCTCACAGTGCATAGCCCATTGCCTGTCACCTGCATTGGTGTGGCAAGGGTCCCACTTGCTGACTACCGGTAGCATTGACTACAAAAACTTGGGCAGAACACAATCAACAAGGTAGCATTGGCGCTGGCCAGCCTCGCCCGAGCCAGGTCGCACATTTTGCACCTCCTGGTTTGGTACTTGGTGCGGAGACGTGTGTGCTGCCCTTGGAGTCAGGGCACATGTGATTTCATCGATCTGTGTTGGGGAAGACTCTGTTAGACCCACCTCTGGCAAGGCGGAGACTACTGCATGAGGGTATTCACAGGGCTCTCAGGGCCCCATGGCGACATTCTGAGACGAGGGCAGCTCTTTGTGAGGTGCTTCCCAGTGTTGGCTCGGAGTGGAGGACCAAGGACATTTTGACAAGGCATCGGTTCGACATTACCATCGCTGCCAGACTGTTTATGGGGCATTGCCATATAGCGTTTTGCAGGATTCCATGGGACGCGGACAGGGGCAGCCCTTCATGAGGCGCTTCCCAGCGTTGGATCAGAGTGGAGGACCAAGGACATTTTGACAAGGCATCGGTTTCGCATTACTGTGGCTGCTAGACAGCTTCCGTTTCATTGTCATATAGCGTTTTTCACGATTCTGTGGGATGCGGACAAGTGGGTGCCGTGCCCCTGGTGAGGGGACGACTTCTCTCATGACCATATGCTGTGAGAATGGAGAGGGTCGGGCCAACCCTCTACATTCCCACAACATGTGGGCCAACCCGTTTGGCCCAGGAGCGGGAGGACTTGCTCATAGGCGTTGCACCGCGGTGGAGGGGGGACTTGGGCTGGCTTGCCACGGCTTTGGGTCTTCGTCTTGGACAGTTTGTAAAGGTGGCTGGGCACTTGATCGAAGCGTTGACTGGGCAAGTGGATGGATGGCAGAGATGGGGATATCGACATCAGGGTTCTCTCGTGATTGCATTGCAATCTGTGGAGCTATGTACATTGTGTTCCTTGATGCTGTTGGGGTGGGTTTTTTGCCAGTCTTTGTGGCGTCAGTGTAGACCACTAGCAAGGGGACGCTGTCTGACTATCTGAGTTCAGCAGACGTGTGACAAGGTCAATGTGTCGAATTTTCACGTTGTCTGTAAGGATGTTCATTCATTCATTAGCCAAACAACAACCAAAAACAGAAGATCTGCACACAGAAGCAAAGGAAGCTGGGAAGGCACACTGAGTCCCAACCACCTTGGCCATCTGGTGAGTTTAGACCACCCTGGGTATGCCAGGTAGTTCCACTGAATCGATCTCTGCTTGCAGCCTGAAATACGAAATAATAGGATGCGCAATGTTTCCCCGCCTCACGCTTGCTTCGCAAGGAAAGCAGTTGATGCACTTGCAGGCAAAAGTACAGAATGGTGCACCATTCTGTGCAGGAGGAACGTATCTTACCTAAGGATATGAAGGACATCTTTGCAGATAGAAATCTACCAAATGTCCAAACAGCTGCAAGGGTTGCCTCCAGATGGATGAACCCTGGGTGCCAAAATGTGTAGATCAAACCCACACTTTACCGGAGGCACATGGCCGCCCACAAAAATGTACACTTTTGCTGTGCACAAACAACACATTATGTACGATCTGTTTGTAGGTTTATGCAATAAATCTTGACTTTTCACACACACACACACACACACACACACACACACAACAGGTGGAAACTTGACAATTTACAGCGTTGCAACTCCCTGCAATGAACGACAGCCACAACAATGCACACACAACGGCTTGATACTGAAATGTTTGACATCCATTGCTGTGAAGCTAACAAGTTGGATTATCACAAACCACTGTCCGTGCTACCCACAAGCACACCACAGTGCAGAAAGCAGCCCAGCAGCTGCCTGTGGTTGGAATTACTGAACTTCGTGGTCTGCAAACTCCACCACACAGTTTCCAGACAGTCTGGTCCAATTTCATTATCCAATCACAGCCATACTAAAACTGCTTGGCTGTGCTCCAAGGCATATCTCATCAGAGCATAAGCGATTCATGCCACTATTTTTATGATGTGCATGTGCCAATGGGAAGCTCACAACCAAAACATTGACCTGCCAGACACAGAATCTGGCAAGAGGTGAGTGCCAGAACCATGACATATTGCCTTGCTTTCAGAATAAACATGCAGCAAAAGGGAGCTTCAGATAGTCACATTTCCTCCCCCTCTACAAGCCTGAATATACCTTGAAATGTACTTTCACTGCCACTGTGAGCATGGACAATTTTCATTCCGTGTAGAAACCTCCAATGTCAATTTTAACCATTTGTTCATCCACATTTCCCCCACAAGGACGTGCCAGAGGAAATCATGCGTTTACAGTTGCATCGCAACACAACAGAGGTGACAGCAACATCGTGGCATCAGCAGTTGTTGCTACCACTTCATCAGAACAAGCATGGCTAAACTGCTGACCCAGCACCGTCATTCTGGATTCTGTTGTCCTGGACATGGCCATGAGCACTCACCAGCATTTACAAAGACTGAGACTAGGATGCGCCACCATTCATGGTTGTCAACGATTGCGGGATGATTTGTAGCACTGTTGAACACAACACACTGCTCAGTGCGGACCTCACAATAGGCAAAGGGTACACCATCACCGAAGACTCAACTTGCTGCTACAGTCCAGGAACACCAGGCTGAATATGTCCTAAAACACCAATTTCCACCCGTAGACATGCATCAAACTGTGCCAAAAGATTAATGAGCAGAATAATTAATTAACAATTAACACCTATTAATACTAATGAGCAGAAGATAAACTCAAACCCTGTTGCTGAGCATACCCTGCACGCAGAAACTCTTTTCTACACTGTGAGAGGTGATGTAGGGTTCTGCAAGCACGTATGGTACACAGCACAGCCACTGATAGACAGGAAAAAAGAGCACAAGGCAATCACCGCCAAAGGCTGATGCTGAAAGACTCAAACAAGTAGAAACAGGGCATGGATCCCGTGCAACAAGCCCTTACCCAACTTTGGAGAGGCCATTTGCACTGAATCCGATGAGAGGATTGACATCGAGCTTTTCAAACTGCACAACAGGCCAAAAGCAGCATGGTTGAAAGGAAGCATGGACTCTCACAGACTAAAGGGGTACGGATGGGAATCGCCACCTGTTGTGTTCACAAGGACACTAATGTCATACAAGACGTTCTGACAATGAGCAAACAATAAACAAGGGGTAAACAGCACTGACCACTGCTCCACAAGCAAACTTATGCAATTAGGATGCTTTGGCTGTTCGATGAAGCCAGATGCCACAAACGCAAAAGACAAGAGTGAAACCACTCTTTATGCATTTCCGTGTTACTTCACTCTGCATATGTGCCATCGTTTCAGTATATGTTTCTTGCAACTGCTTCCAGTCTCTGTTTCTTGCCTGAACTCAAGTCCTGCACATGTGGCAAACAATTGGGCAGGATGGTGGAAAACAATACGGCGGTTCTGAGCAACCAAAGTGTGGTGAATGGATGCGTGTCTGTGCAGTCAAAGCAGTTGAGAGATGATGCCCTTGTGGTAACTCGAGAATGCAAGCCATCAGACCAGGTTTACCTGAGCCAATCAACTGTTGTCCATAGGCAGCGATGACAAGGATCGTGAATAAAGTATAGGAGGCCACTCTGCAACTGTACTCCCACATTGAAAACCAAGATACAGGGATGATTCGGCTTGCGCACAGTGAAGCACTCTGAAAGAGATGAGGATGAAGCCAAACAGAGGAAACCACAAGGGTAATTGTGCGATGGATTGAAGAATATGAATTGCCTATTGCTACACTCACAAGAGTAGAACCGCAATCTGGCAACAATGTTGGGCATTCATACAACTAGCACATTCGTATGTAGCCTGTTGTTCCTACACTTGCATTCCACCAATTTGCATCACAAATGCAGGCAGCAGTGCAAGTGAATACCTGCCACTTGCTCAGCCGCCAGGTGGCCACAAACACTGCCACGTGGGCGATCGAAATCATCCAAAGCAGTTTCATACAACGTTGAATGCGGCTGACGTGCACAGCAGCCAGCCTCTCCTCCCTCGCCTGCCTCTGCAGATTATTGGACAGCCGCTGGTTAGCTGCAAGGCTCCTTGCTGCCCTCCTTTGCTCTTGCTCTTGCAGTCGCACAGCGATGGCGAAGTCCCCATCTATCTCCTCATGGCCATTGCACATGGGGAGCCTTTCTTCATCGGGGACTGGGACCAATTTTCCACCGGCACCCTGCAGGAGTTGTAAATCCTTTGATAACATTGATTACATATATATCGCTATTTATCCAATAGCAAAAAAGCATGCCCACTGCGCCAGTAAAAGGTGTCCAAGATCTGTGAACGTTATGAACGGAGGGAGTTACATCTGACACCACCAATCAGGTCGCAGTGCCCGCCCCTTCTCGTGTTCTGACAACTGAAATAACCAGGAGGTTTCAGTTGTGAGCTGTGCTTGATCTTGAATCCAGCTGACCAATGCCAGGTGGCCTTTCCCGGTCACTCGTTCACCGCAATGCCTCAAGAAAACAGTACCTCCGCCCTATTTTGCAGGAGCGTCGCGGCACACACCACTTCGGCAACAAACCATCGCCAACTCGATGCAACACGCCCGCCGGTTCCCATGGGGATTCTCGACTGTGTTCGGACGACGTCCGCGTCGGTCAGGGCGCTGGCGAGCACACGGCCGTCCGTGGCGCTCGGCGACCATCGCGCACCTCGCCCTTGCCAGGACGTCGAAAACGACGCGCGTGTGCACAGCGGCGACTCCCGACGTCCCGGAGCCCTGCAGTCCCGCAGTCGCCGGAATGCCCTTTCCGGTTGACTGCGCGGCCGTCACGCGTCTCGCGCGAGGTCGGAAGGCGCAGCGGCGGAGAGGTGCTGCCGCTCAACTTTCGAATCGCGAAGACAAGGTAGAACGAAGCGTCACGCACAAGCTTCCTGGCGTGGTTTCGTGAATTTGCCGTCCCTAAGCCCCAAAGCCATATCCGAGGAATTCAAGAGGTCAACCGGACTGGTTTCGGTGGGGGGGCCGTCCACGCCTGTGTTGTTGTCACCGTCAACCGGAGCTGCTGGAACACGCGGCGGGCCAGGCTGGCCAAACCGTGGACAACTGAGGGCCTGCGCGACGAAGCGGCACACCGGCACTTCCAAGGGCAGTACGCTGAGCCAACCCAGTGCGTGTGCATGTGTGTGCATAACGACGTACTGAAAGCCACACTGCACCCCGACCTTCCACAGTCAGGACCAGTGACCTACGGATGCTGGTGGAACCCTCCACACCACAGGCACCCTCCCAGTCGAATGGGACGCTAATGAAGCATATCACTGCCAATGCCAGCACACTGTCCAACACCATATACAGCAAGGACATGCCTTGTGCTGCCTGCAGCGCACAGACTCTTGCACATGAGGAAAAACTTTGGATCGAGATGGATGCCAGCAACTGCCAGCTTTGCCTGCGCTTTATGGATCAGCACCCACCAGCATCCAAGGGGCATGCTTCTCCGCCCACTCTTCGATGGCTCGCCTCAGGGTGACGTTTGGGATGAGTTTGACAGGCTCCTCCAGAAGCACCCCTGTGGTCGGGCACGTGGACCTGCCCTGTGCCAGCCACCTCTCGATGGGTCGCCGCTCGTATGTCTGGCCCGTGGGGAGCAGGACGGGGTCGCGGAACATGTGGTATGATATTGGGCAGAAGAAGGTTTGGGGAGCGCCAAGCTCAGTCGCTGCTGCCTCGATGTCCGGAGCGGATGCTAAGAAACAGGGCAGAGCTTTTTTGGTGGACAGTGTTGGCGCCACACAGGAAATGAGTTTGAGGATGTGGACGTACTGGGAACTTGCCAGGATGGGAAACAGTACTGGCATTGTTACCTCCTTATCATGTCATTCACCTCTTGCATGCTATGAACAGCTTTCAGCAGGGCTCTGGTTTCTCCCTGAGCTTCAGAGCGGGTCGGGGTGTTGCCAAACCCCAGCCACCAAGTAAATGAGAACCACTTTTTCTAACAGGAAAGAGTGACTGCCTGGCCATGCACGTCCCAACTTGTGCTGTGAGCATTGGTGAGGTTCACCAACTGCTGTTCACATTGATGAGATTTCTGCAAGTCGCTGACAAATTTTCAACAGTCACGCACCTTCCTTTCCATAAGCAGGGTTCCTGTCCCCGGCAGCCCCCCCGACGCTCGTCTTGCAGCCGTCTGCCCCATTAAGTCCTTTATTGTCATTCTCTTTGTCTACCCCCAGCTCCTGCAGCCATTTCTGCACCTTTGTGTGGTCACCATGCGCCTTGCGCAGGAGGTCACTGATTAGGTTTGGGTCATCTGCTTGCACAAAGAGAAGTCACCCGCACACGAAGTGCCACACTAAAGCGGCCACAGCCTACAAGAAGAGGAGCCTATCACCCAAATCATGCAGAGTCAAGAGCAGGAAGGCCGCGTCTTGTTCAACCTCACAGCATACGAAACAAGGCGGTGTGCAATCAGACTGCAAAAAATAGCAGTGCACAGAAGGGTAGTACCGCAAAACAGAGGGGTGAACGAAACCAACAAAATCGACTGCACTACTTGCATGCAATGTGCTGGGGGGCAGCGCCCGAGTCGCACAGCCTTTCTGAACATGCCACTGAAGGCAGTGCCGCGTTTGCACGGCCAACAGCGGCCTCGCTGTGCAGTGGAAGGACACATGCCCCCACTTCATCTCCAAACAAACGCTCATGCAAAGAGCCTCGCCTGTCAAAGATCAGGCACAACGTCCATAATGCCACGGCAGCGACTGTTATCGCAAGTAAATAGTTGACGCGCCGGACGTTCCCATCGAATTCACCATTGCCCAACAAGAGACGCGTGACCAGGTTTCATGTTGCTCCGTGAGGACTGCAAAAAGACAGCTGCTCCATGATGACTGCAACAACAGCACTTCAGCTCGGGCCTTGCTGTTCCGGCTACCCCCGACACCGCCCGTTTTCGCCACGGACGCACCTGAGAGGGCCTGGAGTCCACCTCCGTCGGACGACGATGGCAGCGTCTCCCCGCTCTGCGGATCGCGTGATGAGCCTGTGAGCACAGCGCAAAACAGCTTGTGGAAAACGGTGCACAAAAGCTACCGCCGTGTCCACAAGAGGGTGTCAGGCGCCCGCGCAAGCGTCAAGCACGGGCCCGCCCGGCCGCAGGTGCGCTGCGAATAGCGGAGCACCGCCAGGCCACGTTCCAATTTTCCGCTCACTGCCCTCTTCCGCGCCAATTCGTCCCCAGTTCCGCGGGCACGTCGACGGTTTGGTCCGCAATGAAAACATCTCCGCGCCCACCCGCCCACCCAACACTTGTCCCACAGACGCGCCCAAGCCCAACGCGGCGATCACCTCCGGGCGCCCCACCGCCCAATCGATGGCGATCAGCCCCGTGAGCAGTCCCTCACCTGAGCAAGCCGTCAAATCCCTGTCTGCCGCGCCCGCTTCCTCCGTGAGGCTGTCGCCCGCGGCACCCATCCCCGTCGCATGTCCTTTCCGAAGAGAGCGCCCCGGCCGCAAAATCGCGATCCCCCGCGTCGCGCCGGTCGAGGAGGGAGCGAGACCGTCGCCGTGGCTGGCTACTCGGCGGCGTCGCCCGCTCGGCCCGTGGCCCTAGCTCGAGAGGCCGCAGCGGCCGCCCTCAGCGCCTTTATTCGCATTTTCGGACAGTGCTCACAACTTGGTTCCACTGCCGCGGTGCCCTTTTTCCTGCACATTTCCGCTATTTTTTCTTGCGGGGACAGTACATTGTGCACCGCGCGCGGGACGGTACCGGTGTGTGCCGCACAGCGTTTGGGTGGCTCCCCTGCCGGGTTGCCCTCCTTCCTGTACATTTCCGCACTTTACGGGCGGGAACAATACATTGTGCGCTGTGCGTGGCACGGTACATAGTGTGTAATTGCATATCATGCCGTATCTGCGTTTGCATATCATACAATTTGTGTGCATAGCACTTGGGTGGTGCCCCTGCCGGGTTGCCCTCCTTCCTGCACATTTCCGCATTTTCCGCGCGGGAACAATACATTGTGCGCTGTGCGTGGCACGGTGCGTATTGTAGCGTGTGCTACAGAGCACAGCGGTGGTTCCCTTGCCGGCGTGCCCTCTTTCCTGCACATTTCCGCATTTTTCGGGCCGAAAAAGTACATTGTGCACTGTGGGTACACAATGCGTACTGCGTGGCGCTTGGGTGGTTGCGTCCAGAGGGGCGGCGGGTTGGCGCTCATGAGGGCGGTTTACGAGTTCGACGCCTTGGCCTTTTCGCGCGACGCCGCCGCGGAGGATGCGGTGCCGGTGAACTATGTCAAGAAGCGGAAGGCGAAGAGCAAGGGCGCGGAGGCGGTTTTCGATCCCGAGGCGCTAAAGTGCGTGGATGCGCGTCCCTCAGCGGAGCCGTCGCGATTGTAGCCTTCTCAACGGAAGGAGAAGCCGGCCGTGTGGTGGGCGCCCGGCCCTGAGCAGAACGGTCTGAGCGTTTGTACACGTTGCCAAAGTTGATAAGGAAGTCTCGCCATGGATGTGCAGAAGCACATAACCAAGGGCATGTCCACTTCGCCTTACGGGCGTGTCGATGCCTGAATGTCGCATCCTCAGAGATGCTGGCCCCCGGGGAATGAATATCCAGATATTGGTCTGTTGCTTTAACCATGAATCCATCAATCATGCAGCAAATGTCCGATTGCGCGGGTGGTGAGGAGAAAACTGAACGGATGCGGGACAGAAAACGTTCCTGGATGTCTGCATGTCTGTCATCACCTACAGGCTGCAAGGGCACCGCTTTGCCTTGTCTGAGGCAATTTAAACAGGGGATTCAGCCAGTCAGCTGATTGGAATGGGGAATTCAGAGCAAAAGTTGGGGGCCCTGAAGCGCCCAGAGTTTGATGCGGAAAATGCCAGCAACTGAGAACTGTGCACTGAAAAGATTTCCTCACACTGCAAGGGGATCGGGGAGCTCCACCTGTGTCTCGGACTAGGCGGGCTTTTTGTGCAGAGTGGCTGAAATCAAAATGAATTCTGATTTCTCTCCTTCATTTGGCAGGGACTATGTGACTGGCTTCAGGCGCCGTAAACAACAAAGGCGACAAGAGGCGAAAGAGTGAGTTCCTGCCAGCAGTGAGACTTGGTGTACAAATGATGGCTGCACCAATGTTTTCTTTGTATTGGGGTCGCCATGAAAGACATTCGCAAATTTTGCATGCCGTTGACGATGCCTTGATCGCTGCACAAGGCTATGGGAATGTCGAATCAGGCAGTGGGAACACAAGCCTACATCTTGAATAAAGCTCCACTTGCTTCACTCACTTGCAACAACTTGGCTTGCACGTCATCAATTTTGTTGTGGTCTGAGGTGGATACAACAAGGACAATGCAAAATAGAATTTCTTGCATTGATAGTCGATATCGAGGCATTGGCAAGATGGCTTTTGGGAAAATCTTGGTGCATTTGTAACTTGTTATTGCATGACTGCTGATCGAATGAAATTCTCTGAAATTGTACCAGATGCAGTCAGAATTATTTGCCACCGCACCATCTGCAGAAAGGCAGGAACATAGTGCTGATGTTGCATGCATTTGTGTTTGCTCTGCCAGTGTGGCTGCCAGTAAGGATTTGGAGGCTCGACGGGCGCTGCGTGCAGAGGTAGGCTTGCACAGACCACTTTGGGAATCCTGACTCCACAGCAAAGACAAGGACACCTGCATTGGTGATATGCTTTCTCTTGGCCTGTGCTGCTGGATCTGGTGGATAGCTTGGAAAGTTGCATTGATCGCTGTTCATCCCCACAGAAACGCCAACATCTGAAAGAAAGGATGGGAATCGGGGCAGGGGAAGGATGGGTGACTTCATCATCTGAGTCAGGTGAGGCATGAGGACAGGAGGAAACTGTCTATTTTCGCCAACACATAACCTGCATTGTCTTTTACACCCTTTTGCTTGCCGTGGGCACAATTGCATCAACACAGCATGCACATGGGCAACGTTTTGAGACTCAAGTAGAGCCATTGTGAGAAAGATCATGAAAGATAATATCCATCAGGAAAGATTGAAACCTTGGGGAGGAGGCACTGGCAAGGGTATTGTGTGGCCCTCCAAGCTCAGGCGAACCGTAAGGTGCATTTCGACGAAACTGTACCCATAGTTGTTTAATTGGTTGTCGTTTCTACTTAGGCTGTATGTGATCATTTGGGCCTGGACATTGTTGTTGTCCGTCTTGCTACAACCTTGTGCAGAAGCATGGCGTTCTTAGCTTTGAATCAAATTGAGTACCCAACCCTGCAGTGTCAGATGATCCCTGGGCTCCTCTGCTGTCGTCATCCTTGCCATTTCTGTATACTTGACAGAGGGAACTCTTCATACCCGGCTTTTCCATTTGGCAGGCCACGTTGTACCTGCCCAGCGCTCGTACCCTTCTATGCTGTGCACTGCTTGTGACGCCTGTCCAATGATTTGGTGGCAGAAGAGGATGACAACACAGAAGTAGTTGTGTACAACGTGGGTGACGCCACAACTACAGTAACAACTGCCCCTTTGAAGCTTCATGATGACAGGTAAGGGCGTCCGTGTTGCTTGCTTCTGCTGGCAGCTTCTCTTTTGAAGCCAGGAGCGAGGGATGTGCCCAAAGGGTAACGCGTTGGTAGTCGCACTGACGACAGCTTCAAAGTCCAAATGACAGAAAACCACCTTGCGCACTGACGACAGCTTTAAAGTCCAAGTGACAAAAAAACACCTTGCGCACTGACGACAGCTTTAACGTCCAAGTGACAAAAAATCACATTGCGCAAGCCCAAAGTGTCAAACGAGATCCATGCTGCAATTCCTCAAGCGCCCCAAACAGAAGGATGGGTTCCTATGTTTCGTGGAAAGCGCCCAGTACTACAGTGCATACATATTGCGCCAGCATGCAGAGTCAATGGATGTGCCTGTGGGGTGAAGATCAGCGCCGGCTGGACTCATGAATAGAATCTGCATGGGAATTGCCCTGAGATGCTAAGTTTGAGATGTTGAAAATATTGGACTTCTGCTCTATTTCTGTTCGACATTAGAGTTCTTGTTGATGGAACGGTACATTAATCTACCTGATTGGCAGACAGGCGTATGCAAAGGAATATCAAGTATCCAAGTGCAAAATCGTTGCTGGGTCGTGTTATGTGAGCGGTCCTTTTCAAAACGCATTTTGGTCACGTTGATATGATAATGACGTGTGCATTGCCCTGGTGCCCAGCGACGGCGACTGTGACGACGATGAAGACCCAAAATCAGGCAATCCTGAAGGCCAGAGGGTGAATAGCGGGCTAGGTTCGAATGAGACGCGAAAGGTGGGGGACAAGAGAGCTACTGGAGCCCTTCCACAACGCAGGAGAGGCGCAGGTGGGAAGAAAGCCCGGGCCGTGCGAAGGCGAAACTCCAAGATGCCGACGAGGAGGTTTAAGACACGTAAACATGAAGGTATGTGTGGGATGTGGCTCCTGCTCTGTTGCTCTGTCAGTGTCTTGATTGAGTTGCTTGTTTGGACTTATCTTGCGCTTCCAGTCGGCTACTCATATTTGTTCTCCTTGCTGCTCACCCTGTGGTGCCTGTCAGCAGGCTTGTTGTTACGTGTACGGCACCATTTTTAAGTTTGCGTTTTCACGCGTAAATACGCGTAAACAGAGATATCGCCTTTTTCCTGGCCATATTTACGCATTTTTACGGCTCATCGACACACCCAGGTGGCATGTTTGTGGCCCAAACAATGATGAGTCCTCCGGCACCTCGAGCACCTGCAGCACACCGCCCACCTCGCCTTCAGCAAGGGTAACGACATCGTGGAACAGAAGATCACTTTCTGGTCACTCCAGCGCGCTTGGATGCCATTCCCAGACTCATCCGGGCTCATTGTGTCTGTAATTGTGGTCTTTATGTATACAGTGCCCATTTTGCGCATTTTTGCGGCTGTTTACACGTTAAAACGTAAAAACCATTTTATGAGTAAACCGCCGTAAACAGAAAAGTGTAAATAAAAAATGTAAATAGCAACCTGCCTGTTAGCCCTGGCGGGTGGCGTTTGTCATTCCTTGCAGAGCAGCGTGATTGAGCTGGTAGTTGAAACACATCGTGAGTGGATGAAGTCGACATTGTCACTCGCACTGGTATTTATCTTGCGTCGTTCTAGTGTGAAAGACCCTGAGCACTGCCAGTCCACCCTCCACGCGTCATCGACACGTGCATTGGCCGTTTCAGACGCATCGCCCAGCCAAGACCAGACAGAATTCCCACAAGGAATCATCCCTGGACAAAAATGTCACTAGGTCCATTGCCGAATATGGGGCATCTGGTGGGACCTGCGATTTAGAATTTGCCGCCAGTTGCTCCAATCGGTGCCCCCACGTTGATTCGTTGTATGTCGGCATGGTGCATGCTGGAAACACATGGTTTCCAGCAGATATCTGTGTGGAGGCAATGAGTGAGGCTGCTTGTTATTTGTCATCGGCTGCCATGCCAGGTGCAGACTGTGCTCGTCAGAATGGGAAAGAAAACTCCTGACAGCAGCTACAGCAGCATAGTTAGCAACTGTCGCGATATCTCGCAGCTATGCGGAACCGCAGATGCAGGAACGATCTAACGTGAGGAACATTACGTGAGGAATGAAACCTGCAGCAACTGTGCCTTGGTGTGTACACCCATTTACATCCTTGTCGCATTTCTGTGGATGACATGTTTGTATATCTTTCAATATCCATTTTGCTTCCCTGTAGATACTGATATTTGTGTGGTTCTGCAGGGAAAAAGAAGCGCAGATAACGGGAATCGATCTTGTGCTCGGCAGGGGGCGTATTGCATTGCTGGCGAATGGAGGAGCTGGGACCTTCTTTTTGTACTGGATAAGTGTAATAATTGCAGCACCGAATCCAAAATGCCATGATTGCAGCGGGAACGGTAGAAAATAGTTATAACTGCAGCACAAAATGAAATGTCTGCAAGAATGCAAGCCGACCCGTGGCCATGGTTGCAGCGCAAATTTTGCACACATTCGCGTCCGTTTGATTATATTTTATCAGCAGGCCACTGCAAAATTGGTGGGTGCCCAAAACCTCAGCACAGGTTTGTGAGTTGGCTGGTCACATGTACAGCGCCACAGGTGGTGAACCATTTGCTGAAAGATCGAGAGTGTACAGCCTGTGCGGCGTTTTGCACTGGAAGACTGCCGACGTTGGGACACGGCCGCCCTGCGTGGCTTGCAACCAACACGAGCACCGAAGCATTTCCCATGAGGCGCGACCGCTGCCATGTAAATTGATGACAGAGGAGATGGGCGACAAGTCTAGCATCCTTACTTTTGGCGTTGCGCTAGATTGTGAGCACGAATAAGGCGCGGCCGCTGCCATGTAATTGATGACAGAGGAGATGGGCAGCAAGTCTAGCATCCTTACTTTTGGCGTTGCGCCAGATTGTGAGCAGGAACTCGGGCTGGTGCCTGCTGCGATGATGCCGCGTTGCGCCCTTTCCATGCATAAAATATTGGAATGGATCCAGAGGATCACATTGATACCCCCCAGCAGTGAGAGTCTATCAGACATTTTGCATGCAGCTGCAGATTAGGCATTCATTGTGCAACATGGCAGGTTACATTTGTATCCAAGACCTGCTGCACGAATCGAAAGGGCACATGCTGCATGGGAACGGGTGAACGCGCGTGCGCACCAAAAAAAAAGCGTAGCGGAACACAGTGGCCGTGTCGCAAGTTGGTGCATCCGGAAATACTCATCCCTAAACAATAGCACTAGTGTGTTTTCCGCGATAAATGTTGAATTCAACCCCCGCGACAGCACTGGGTTTGTGGGCCACATTTGACGTCGGATGCGAACAACAAGGGTGGTCGTTGATATTGGTATTCAGGTGCTCCGTCACGCGGGTCTCTGCGGCGGGTGCGGATTGTTACGGAAACGAAGCACTGACGCTAGTCGTCACGACAGGAACATCTGCACTCAATCCCACGCCCCTCCCCATATCTGCAGCAAACAATCTGCACAGAACGGACGTTCCAAACCACGCCGCCACCACAAATTATCTTGCCCAATGCAGCTTTGGCATGCATGCTTCCAACTCGACACATGCTACAGCACCTTCCGCCCCGCCCGAGGAATGGAGTGAAACGAGTCATCAATTGGCTGCAAGTGCGCGGCCAAATGCGCCGATGGGCGGCTGACTGGTTCGCCACCGGGAAGCGGTTCCGGTGGAGGCAGCCTGGGAACGAGCGGGGGGCAACGGAGTTAACGGACAGATCCCAAGCCAGCGAGTTGCGGCCGGGCCATCTATTCAGTCCATGTATCATGAATATGTCACATCAGCGGCGCAGTGCATTTCAGTGGAACCCGCAGTGGGCTCCTTCCATCGTGTGACGCCCCTCGCACTGGCGGCCTCCGACAAGTCGCTGCCCCCCTCACGCTCCGCCAAGGCGCCCGGCCCCTCGGTCCTCCCTCCCCACCCCCCACCCCCCACCCCCACCCCAAAGACGTCCTCCTCCTGGGGCGAACAGCCGCCGTTGTGCTTGCAGGCAGCCCTCGATTTCGCACACATCCCGCCGGCAACCCAGCCCCCGGCATCGCGGGGGCCCCGCCCCCGCCCCGCGGCGCGATGCGCGTCAGTGTGAGGACCCAGGACGAGCGCACCTTCCACGTGGACGTGTCCCCGGCTGACTGCGCCCACGCCATCAAGTCCGAGATCCAGAAGCAGGATCCGCGGCTGGACGTGGAGCGCCACCGCCTCCTGTTCCGTGGCAGGTTTTTGGCGGACGGCGAGAGCGCGGAATCTGCGGGCCTGGGGGATGGGTACACGCTTCTGCTGGTGCCCAAGCCTGTGGGGGGGCCCGAGGGAGGGTCTCGGCGCGGCCACAGACGCGCATCCTCCACCGCGGGCGGGCATGGCGCCCCCCGCGTGCCGCCCGAGGTGCTACGCTTCCTGGCGGCCCAGGAACAGATCCTCGTGATGCTGCAGGCGCAGGGGCGCGGGGGCACGGGCGGGGGGGAGACGGGGGCCGAGGATCTGGAGATGGGGCTGGGGAGGGGGGAGGAGGCGGAGGCGGGGGGAGATGCGGTCCGGAGCGGTGACCAGGGGGACTTGATTCTGGGGCTGGCGTTCGGTTTCCTGCTGGGGCCCATGGCGGGGCTGTGCCTGATCGAGTCCAGCCTGTCGCGGCGCCTGAGGACGGGGATGCTCATCGGGATCATACTGGAGGTCATCCTGTGCCTGTCGAAGATGGCAGCCAGCGTGCCCACTTGAAGGAGGGGGGGGGCTGCCGGGCGCTCCTCTGCGGCCGGGGGCTTAGCGTTTGGTCTTGGTGGATGCTGGGCTTAGCTAGACGCCCCCCACTAATTGTGGGGTCCTGTGGTGTGGGAGTTTGGGAGGATGGGTGGGTGCGGCGCTGCAGAAACAGATTGGGGAAACTGGGGGCGGTTCGTTTGCGTCGAGGGAACGCTATCAACCAGCCCATGCTATCGGACTTGCGCGCTGCACTCGCAACAGGGTGGAATAAGGGCAGGGAAGGGAGCCATCGCCCCGCACACTGCTGGAGGGTGGTGTGGATGCACGTGGACGAGGAAAGCTGTGCGGCGTTGGCAAGAAACAGCACAAGCTGCGTTGCATGAATCGATGTGACACACACAATAGCGCAAAGTGGAGATTCTTGCTGCTGGACGTCGAGCCCACAGTAGCCTGTCAATTCATGTGGGGACAGTATCCCATCTTTCCATTTGCAGCTGGGGAATAGAGGGAGGTCTTGGCAAAGGGTCTCACTAGCGTTTTCAGACCTGTTGGGGGCGTGCCAGTGCCCTGGTGATAATGTGCTGTTTCTTGTTTTCATGGACACGGCATGAATCCTGGAATTCCAGAGGAGAGATGTAGAGAAAGGGGCGCACCTGCAAGGGAATGTGGAGTTGGCCAATTGTGTACAATACGGACTTGCGGCGATGGACCTTCCTCCTGGCCTGCTGCTGGCATGGCCGACTTGAGCGGCTTAATTCTTTATTCGATGCTCGGGGTTGGACTGTTAACAGATTTTGCTTGACTATCTGGTGTGCTGGTCTGCATTATGCTCTCGAACAGCTATTGCCTGACAACCCAGCCTTGTCCCTGATAGTGAGGAGCTCTGGCCCGCACCAGTTGCAGGCACTCGTGCACCTCTCCATATGGCGTCCCCAGCGCTTTGGACAATGAGCAGGGATTCTGCCATTGGAAGGACAGCTGGTCCTGGTGGTCAAATGGGTGACATCGCCATCCACACCTTATTGAAGGGGTTCTTTTCGTTGCGCCTTGCCTTGAAGCTCGTACGGATGCAACATTCTTCATTCATTCATTCGCAGATTGTGTTTAGCATTTGCTTGTCGCCCAAACGCCACTGCTTTTGTGAGCTGCTGAAAGTAGTGGTCAGTGAACGAGCTTGGTGTCTTAAGTTTGGTGGTCCGAAACCGGAACTGCCACTGGGCACGCCACCGCGCAGGCCACTGCCTTGTACCAACCAAGATATGAGGAAGGTAGCCAGATACATGCTATCAAAAGGATGTGTGAGCAGTTCAAGGAGCGTGAAATGATGGCAGACGCTGACGTGCGATGTGATTCAGTTTACAAGGTGAGCCTACGAGGTTCGAAGAGACTGCCAGTGGCAGTTGGCCTTCCATTGCGGATTGATTGCATCCTTGTGCGCACGGCGGCCATGGCACCTGCTACAACGGCTGACGCCTCTCAGGCGCCAAAACTGCGGGCGTCCAACACCAGTGCGGCAGCACATCTGCACTGCTGCCCGGCCAGCTTGCTCACAATCGCATTGGCATCCAGCTTCCCATTGAAAGCGACACGACCCCCAACCATGGAGGTGTCCTCATCCAAAGTGTGCGAAGTTTGCTTAAATAATAGTTGCAGCGTGACTTTGCATCGCTGAGGACGACATCGATGTTTTCTACAATTCCCACAGCAAGGCATCCCGGATAAGCTAATTATTTCGAGCTGTCCTGCGACCCTGGGTGGGTCTCCATTCCGCCCCAAAACATCGAACCCATGGCTTGAAATCCAACCTTGCCGGAAAGGAATCCTATCTATGCTATAAACGGTGGTACAACATCTGCGACACTACAGGGCCTCGCGCCCGGCCCCACGATGACAGCGAGCGCGCCTGCGCAGTCGGCCAGCCGGCAGCCATCCCAACTGCAGGGCTGAAAAACGTGCAAATGCTCTTGTGTGTGTGTGCTTGTGCGTGCGTGCGTGAGTGTGAGTGTTTGTGTACAACCTGCTCACCCGCTCCCCCGGCCACGTTATTGCCCCACTGGATAGTCGCCGATGCGCTGCCCTTCCCCTCGGTGTGTCCCACCCAACAATTCCGGCCTCTGGCCGCTCTCCCTATGCCGCGCCCAAACCACGTCGCGCCACCCATGTACACGCCAGGATGGACGCATCGGCATATGCGCCGACACAATGCCAGCCGGTATCGGAGCTGGGGTTCGCCCAAGGCTGTCGCGCGGCGCGCCACTGTTCACAAGGCGACGATCCAGTCCACGTCCACGTTGTCCACGCAGGGAGCGAAGAGCTGCTTCAACATCCCGATGCTGATGCCCCTGGCGTCGCCATCCAGAGTCTCCCTGGCCGCCTTCAGCACGTACCGCTTGGTGTGCTTGTTCTCCAGCAGGTGGTACAGCGCCAGGCTGGTCCAGGCGAGCCACTGATCAGCGTCGTCGACCTGGCCAGCGTGGGACTGGCTGGCGTCCACCCGAAGGTTCATCAGCGCGCTGCAGCCTCCTGTTGGATGCAGGCAACAGGGAGCAGTCAGGCGTGCAGTGGGGGGCGCCCCCGACGGACGCTCGCCCAGCCTCTGCCGAACCCTTGCTATCTTTCCAGTTGTTAACTCAACCCAAATGACCAAAAGTTTGGCTGAGGCAGTAAAATAGGGCACAAGTTATATAAGATAGTAAGATGCCAACTAATCTCCACTGGTGGGCTGTGGATGACAGTGCAGGACTGTGCATGTAGAGCAGCCAGGGTACTGAGCTGGCTAACAATCAACGAAACAACTCGCATATCAACGCAGCTTGCACCCTTGCCAGCTGACAGCCAGCCTGCTGGCTCGTTATGTTCAAGCAGTGATATTACACGATGTGGATCAATAACGAGAAGTGCGTCAGACAGCGGAAATACTACTGTGCGCAAGCGTGCCGCATAACAGCAAAAACAACACCTGCTGGACCAACAAACCATTGCAAACTGCAAGTGCCACCCAGAAAGCAGCAAGGTGATGAAGGTCAAATAATAGCAGTGAGTGGGGATAACCATCACTGCTGCAAGGTCAAGCCATTCCACTTAAGGAGACTTCAAAAACGCCATTCTTGAGAGGGATACTTGAACACTGTGCTATGAGGGCAAACACAGCAGCATCACGCGTTCTTCCTTTCAGTCACAAACAAAGCATACCGTAGTACATTCAACTCACGCATCAAACAAAATACCCCTACGCTTGTTGCTGTGCATTTGCTGTCAAAGCATCGTTTTTATTCTTTTTACATTGCTCTGCAAAAATCCAATTAAAAGAGCTCTTCCATTTTACCAGGTGTTACGTTCCTATTCGCAGGGTTGAATATAGTACGGTATCCACAATAGTGGCCTCGCAGCTGTCGCAGCTGCCAGCAGGCACATTGCGGGAGTTGCACACAAGGTAATAAAAGCCCAGGTCCATGGCGCAAATGACGCATGACACCAGGTCTTCAGCTGCTGTGAATGGCCATGTGTGAACGAGAAGAAAAAGAAAGTAACACTTCTTCCAATTTTCACAACACATTCAAGCAGCAGTCATACCTTCCAGAGCAATGAACTCAGGGGCACGGCTGTCTCGGATTGAAGCCAAGCTAGTGAGGGTGCCCAATGCCTGTTTCTTCACAATGGCGCTGGCGCTCTGGTTGAGGGCCTCCAGCATGGTGGGGACGGCGCCCCCTTCAAGGAGGTCGTCTGTCCACTCGGGCGACTGCGCGTCTGCGATAATCCGCAGGACAGCGGAGCAGTACTCCAAGGCCCTTATGTGAAAAGCTGTATCCTGTTGAATGCCACTGCCTTGATGACCCGGCGATGCAGGTCCTGCAAAGGGGATGAGGGGACATAAGAATATTGGATGTCCATTTGAGGAGCTACACAGGTGCGGCGCTTGCTTTGGGACAAAAGCAAGTGGACAAACTGGCACCATCCTGCCCACTGTGATATTTATTTATATTTCTACATTGGCTGTTAGGGGCTGTTGTACTCTGATGTCTCTAGATTATGTGGGTTGGTGTGCTGATTTAGGAGTTAACAGTTGACATCCGAAGCACACTCAGTGTCGTTGGTCACAAGTGATACAAGACATAACACTGTATGCCGGGATGTGTGCACAAATACAGTACTCATTGAAGCTGGCACTGGTATTATTGTGGAACAAGAAGATTAGGTACAACTGCGCTGCAATCCTGTTCCAGTGTTGGTGCAGTGGCGCGTGCATTCACAGCATTGTGCACTGCAAATGCACAGGCATTAACTGCTTCCATCTCACTGCTGTGTAAAACACTGAGGCCATGCCAGCTCCCTGCTGCCTTTGCACATTTGTAGAACCTCCTATGACACCAGGTTCCACAGAGATTCGCTCAGCGAACTGAGCCGAAGCAGCCCACCTGTGTATGTCTGTTGTCGTCGGCCGACTGGTGTGTCATATCGCTGCCTTGGGACCCATTTGGCCTCCCTCATGCCCAGACCTACAATCCCAAGGAGACTGGGAACGCCCCCAGAAGTCGCCAGCTGCGTTCTAGGCAAGCTGTGCCGACATAGGTTGTGAAGGGCGCGCAAGACGGCATGTTGCATCCTTGGTGGGGGATCGCTGTCAAGTATCCGCAAGAGGGACAAAACAACCCCTGCAGCAAGGCCACAAATCAACTCTTATGCCGCTGGAAATACCCACACATCTGCATGCACAGCTGTTGAGACAGCAACAGCAATAGCCACACAGAATGGTCAGCACAGTGCAGGGTAGACACTGGCCAAAGGAGTAGATTTCACACAGAGTACCATTTGCTCAGCAGCGAGTACTCCCTGCTAGCATACACACTAACTTATTTGGACTCTGTACTCAGTGGACACACAATCTGGCAATGAACACCTGTATCTGCACAGGAAACAATTGTACAGGCAATCCAGCTGTGAGCTGCTTCAATCGGCCACAGCGTTTTCAGACTTTCATCCCACCACATGGACTAATGCCTTGATTCACAATTTTGTGTCTCCAATGGATCGCAGCATGGCAGCCCCACATCAGGGCTGCCGAGCTGACACATCAACTGTCAATGGTATCTTCCTATGTTTCGATAAAACTTAGTTAAGTGCCAACAATGCATTGTCTTTGGCACATTTCTAATCTCAGTGTGGTGCAAAACTCTGCAACTGAAGAACACACCAAGTGCCAGGTGGGCACAAGTTCTTGAGCATGCATGCCATCCAGAGCACAAGGCTCATCCCTTGTTACTTTCCAACAAACATAGTCAAACACATTGCCTGCCTGCTTGTGCTCCAGCCACTCGCATGCTGTCCCCGCCATGTGAGCACAGCTCATACACCGTTTGCACAGCGATGCGCTTGTACATGTGCGCATCCAACCCAATGTCCTGCAGGTCCTCCTCATCTTCTCCCAGAACAGCAGCCACACCCTCTATCACATCCCGGCGGCAAGTGAAGCCGCCTTGGCCAGACCGCAGCAGTTGTCGAATAATCCGCAAGCCAGGGGTCCTGTCACATGGAAAGCATTTCACTCAATATGTTCACAGCCTTGTGGAAATAAACTTCAACATTCGCTAATGGGTGCAAGGGGCACTGCCCTGCCAAAATCGATGCATTCAAGCACAGCAGCATTTGAGAGCATCCACCCTCTATACCACAAGCTACAACACATAGGGCAATTTGTACCCGATCTGCAACACATCAAGTCATGGCACAGTACTCCATGACCTTGTTGCGAATCTGATACCAAAGGATGATTGAAGGTACCATCAGACATTGCACCTGTATGGAGCTGACCACTCAACACCTGCCACCATTATCAAGGTTCAAATTGACATATTTTGGCACAGGACAAACGCAAAGCTATAAACATTTCACAAAATAGACATTTGATCCATCCCTGGTGCTTTGCACGACTTTGGTACCTGAATATCACCTGTGTCCTGCAACAACATGTTCTGTTGCTCTCTTTGTGCTGCTGTCTGTTGCACTCCTCTTCCATTACAATCAGAAACTTCCGGAACTTCTTCAAAGTTCGTACAAAGTCATGGAAAACAATATTCCCTGAGAAGGAGTCGCCGTTCAATTGTGTGATGCTTTCTTCTGTAGTCCAAATGCCAGCCTTGGTGGGATAGAGCCAGCCATCAAACACTGAGCTTCGATAATTGCCCAGATGAACTATAAATGTCATTTTGCACATGGGTCAACGAAACCCATTGGTGCCTTGTTGGCATCCAATTTGTGTCGATGCCCTTTTGATAAATGTCACAAGCAGTCTTGCTCTTGGTGTGCCCTGAACCAGGCAACGAAACTGCTATGAGCTTGCAATTTCAGAAACGAAAGTTAAAGGGTAATGGGAATTAGGTTTACTGCTCACCTGATGTATGGGTTCCCTTGCTTCACCCAGTATGCCACAACTTCAACGCCTGTTTCTAGGGCCACCAGTCGCTTGCAAGACTCCTCACAGTTAACCACAAGCGCAAAAAGCAGGTTCATGAGTTTTTCCACTCTAGTAACCTCCGTGCTGTGAAACTCAGGGATCTGCAATGACAAAGAAGTCCCATCAAGTTCCATGCCGCTTGGCCACTGTTTGCAGTGCTTCACTTTGCAGCACAACAAGATGTGGAAAACTATGCACAACTACACAAGGCATGCAGCAGATGCAGACTGAGCAGTGTGTAAATGAGGAGTTCACAGAGATGATATCAATTTTCCCGGTACATTCTCTGTGCCCAACGTCCAACTATGTCCTATCCGTCATGCCCTGCACTCAAGCCAATAGGTTACCAGCACTAACAATAGACAGACAGCTACAAAGCCCCAGACCCTCATAAAACCAGACCTAGGCTGCCAACAGCTGTGCGGCTCCATTGTGCCACTCCACTTCCATGACAGCAGGTCCGCCGCCTCAAGGCAACAGGTTTCGTTACTACCATTGGTGACAGACTCAACTTCTTCCATTACCAGATTCCTCTTTGTGCCTGCTGCAGTAATTCATGCAAAGAAAGAAGGACACAAAATGTGTCGCTCATCAAGTCCACAGCATAACCTCCAATAGCTGCATTCCAAGCGCAAGGCTGTTGCCTTGCAATCAAACATCTTCATGACCTCCACAACCTCTCAGTCTTGTCCCAACCAGACACAAGCCAGCCACAGCCATGCTGATGCGAGCTCTTTGCCCGGACATCGCCTCACAGGTGACAGGACAGCACCTGCCCATGTTCTGCAAGTGCAATTGTCAAAGGCCTACTACCCTGCTCACCTTTTCCGCTGGGCTGAGTGGCTTCCTTCCAATACGTCCATGCCTTGCATATGTGTCTTGCAGGTCTGGCTGCATAGGCGGGTTGTTTGGCTGCAATATGTATCCAACCTTCCTTGGGGTCTCGTCCTCAGAACTGTAAGAATCGAGTGCTGAAGCCCCCACCTGGTTGTTGTAGCCTTCAGAATCTACGCTCCTGGGACTCCTGTGCAGTGGAGGCACAGAGGACTCTATCTCAAATCCTGCAAGCTCTGTGGTACATTGCAAGCCAGTTGGCAGCTTGTTTTGGGGGTTAACGGTGCTACCACCACCAAGAGTCTGAGAGTTTGGCCCTAGACTTTGTGCTGTGATTTCGGTGAAACGACACAGCAGTGTTTGCAGGTTGGCACAAAGTGGCACATCTCTGTTGTTTTTTACTCACAAACGCAGTACAGCAACAGCAGAATGATCGACGACATTTGCCTAGGTAACAGGAACTGATCAAATCAATGTGCTTCCAACAACGACTTGAATGTGCAAGTGCAGCGCTCTGTCCCTTTCGACCAGTGTAAAGAAAGAATCAACAAACGATTATCATGCACCTCACATGTCGCCTCAGCACACAGGCCTGCAATATATTTAACTGATCTGTGGGACTGCAAGTTCTATTGTTTTTCAGCCGGGCACTTGAAATAAAAAGTAACACTATTTCTGTGGCAACTCTTGCCTTGATGATCCCCAGCAACTCACCATGCAAGGAGAGGATCTCGCATGGGCCTGACACTGAAGACAGGTTGTCCGCTTCCAACACTCGACTGGCTGGTTCCGGCCTCTGGTGATGTTGGGGAGCTCACATTTTGGGTGCAGAAATGGGAGCGTGCCAAGTTGTGCAGGACATACGTGACCACTTCGATCCCCAGGGACCCAATCAAGTCAGCCCTTAGGTCCTGGTGATCAAAAAGGCAGCCAAAAGGACCAACTGAATGAGCAACTGCATCCCGGCAGACAAACTGAAAATGACACACCAGCCTTGCCGAATGTGGCGACTGACTGAGCTCTGCCAATTTGGCAGGATCGCAACTGTAGCGGGATGCAAGAACTTTGCAGCCCACCACAGAAGACCACACAGAAGACGATGATCGTTGAGGAAAAAGATGGCTGAAGCACACTCAGTGCACACATCGCATTGCACTCGTGGCAGCTCGATTTCCCCTGCTGATCGGCTACACTGAGGTCGTGCACAGGCAGTACTAGGGGTTCACGCCATCATGTTACCTTTTCAATGAATTTCTGCAGATTGTGACCAGCAAAAACCACTCCTACACAAATTTGGACCACAAAGAGCCAGAATCCAGCAGCCTTCCCATGGACGCAGCATGTGGAGAAGATAGCCACCAGATTTCAGCACTTGACTCAGGGGACAATTCCTTCCCACTAAGCACATGGCACAACACAAATTCCAAGTGCACCAGACTACACAGTCCACTAAACACGCATGCCTTCCACACATATCCATTTCCAGCCTATTCTGTCCCAATATCTCCCATAACTGTCCAAGCAGCTCACCTTTCTGGATGCTAGGGTTGCAAGGGCATCGACCATTGCACAACTGATCTCAAATTCCGTGCAGGATGCCAAGCCCTTGACCAACACGCCTGCAGCCCCTGTCTCCAGCATTTGCCTCTCGAGGATGTGAGACATCATCAGATTGCCAAGCATTATTGCACAGGCCCCTGACAGGACCTCGTGGCTTGGTGCAACATATTCGACAATGTCCTTGATTGCACCGCTTGATGCAAAACTGCAGAAGCACAACATTGAGGGTTGAGTGACACTCCAATTTGACATTCAGTATGCTGAGGCAACGCATGTGGCCAGCAGCTCTCCACAGGCTGTGCAAGAGAATGACAACTCTGGAACAATTCATGCGTTCAAAATGGATTCCACATCAATGTTACAGCATTGAAGGTACCGCCCAAATTGATAGGCAAACGAATGCCAATACTTGGGCATGGTCTGCTTCTCCATGTGCAATCAGGCCCCAGCAGAATCTTCTGCCAAATAGCATACCCCAGACCCTGTACTCCACTGCAGTGCGATGCACGCTGTAGAGGCATGCATGAAACTGAGCCGGACGGTTAAGCATTTTCGAGTTGCGATTGGTGCCAATCACACTGAATGCTCAAGCCAGTTCACACTGCCTAGAGCCAGAGACACGCACATTGGATGGGTTGCTGGTTCTTGTGAAAGATTACACAGTGCTGCTGCAACGTATGCTTTGATGTGCAGCGCGACGTCTTCCTCTGCCAAAAGCTGCACCAAAACGGGAATGGCTCCTGCATGGACCAGCCCCATTGACCTGGACAAAAGGTCAACACAGCGCACAACCCAAAGTCAGCAAATTCTGCCACCGACCACCCCGCCGTCCCAGCAGCGCCGTGGCCGTTCTGCAAATGTGGAACAGTTCAAACAATGGGGCGCACCCTCCGCAGACCGGAGCAACGAGAATTAGGAATTCCAGAGCGCAGTGGCACAGGGAAGGCCGACGACGCGCCGTACGCTTGCATCAGGCAAAGCCACGCGTCTGGCAGCACCAGAGGAGCTGCGGCATGCTTTCGCCACCCAAAGTGATGGCGCCGCTGCGGCGGGCTGCCGCCCCGCGCTAGGCGCGCGGCGCTCCCGCCAGCTTGCCCCCACCTGGCATCACCCTCCTTCGTTATTTCGACCACCCTCAGGAGCGCCGTGTTTCTGGGGCGCTCCTCATCAGAATTCAGCAGGGTGACCAGGGCATCGGCGTCCATTCTCCGAACGTCGCCGCCCCTGCTCTTCCTCTGTAGGCTGATGCCTGCAGCCAGCAGCACCGGAAAGGGCTCAGGGCAGGCGGACAGAAATCGATCAACGGGCAGCGCAGGGCGTCCGCCAAGCCGCCGCGGCCCCAAGCGAGCACGCAACAGTCCACCAACGCCCGGCGACGGAGCCACCGCAACGCAGCAATCACCACGCCCATGGCATGTCACACTTCGGCCGGCCGGAAACAGGCCCTGCAGCACGGGGCCATTTTCTCGCGTCATCGCAACCGCCCGCTCGCGAGGGATCCCCCTTCTGCTCGGTGCCGAGCAGCCCACGACGGGGCGACCCCGCCATCGGCCCGCGTGCCGGACTTGCGCGAGGAGTCGCCCGCACAGCTCCGCCCCTCTCGCCCCAGCAGGGCCGCGCGGCGCTTGCATGTCGCGCATGCCCACGTTGGCACGGGTGGCGCCGCTCAAGGGGGCCATCCCGCTCCCTGGCACCGACATGCCCGCCCGTGGCGCGGAACCCTTCCACGTCCCCTCTGCGGCGCCAGCACGGCCCACAGAGGTCAATCCGCGGCGAGCGAGCGCGACCAGCCGCACGCAAATCGCGCAGGCCCGGGCGGCGCGCAGGCGCGGAGCAATCCCGCCTTGCGCCTCGACCGTGCTCGCCCCGATGGAACAGGGAGGAACTTTCTGGCGGAAATTATCGCCGCCCGGCTGCGCACCTGAGATTCCGCAAGCGAAGCAGCGGCGGGGGGACTCCGCGCCGTTCATAATCCGCGCGCGCTACCGGCCCGAGCGCTTCACCAGGCCCTCTCTGCATCCCCGCCGCGGAGGCGGGCTACCGGCGCCTCTCCCGCGGGGCCCGGTCGGGCCCACCGCACATTCTGTTGAAAGCGCGGAGGTCCGGAGGGGGGCTGATGGGCGGGATGGGAGGTAGATCGCCCCGCGGGCCGGCCTTAAGGGAGGCTGCGCGCCGCGGTCGGGTTTTAGGCGCGCCCCGCAGGCCCTGTCGGCGGCTCCACACCGCCCAAGTCCCCTGTGCCCAAGAGGATCCTGCTGGGTGGGAGCGCCCACCTCATTCAAATCCCACCCAGCCGCTCAGGGGCCGTACTTGCGCACACCGTGGTCGGTGGGGACTGAAACGTGCCCCGGTGTACGGCCGCAATGTACGGCGGGGAGGAAGGGGGCGAAATATCGGGTGTGCGTCTCTCAAGAAGGGGGAGGCCGCTCTGAGGAACGGTGGTGCCAAAGGCCGTGAGAGCGCCGTCGGGGCGTCCCGGGCGCGATAGTTTGCGCCTCGGCCCTGCCCCAGCCGCGGGGCTTTCCCCCATGCGGCTGGACGGACGGGACTGGCCCAGTCCTGTGCCAAGGGCCGCTGCTCTCCGGGCGGGTCCTGGGGTGGCCACGCGCGGCCCACACAGGATCGGTGGCCTCGATCGGCGGATTTTTGGCGTATTGCGGTAGAAGAATCTTTGATTACGGTTGACCGGAGTCCTTGGGATGGCGCAGGTCCCCCACAGCCGATCGAACAGCACCGCCAAGGAGTGCCCCGGAGTGTCGACGCGCCCCGCGGGGGGGAGCGCGGTGGCTGGGCGTCGCGGCCGCGCCAGGGGCGCGTCACTGCGAGGCCTCACAGCTCAGGCAGCTCACTGCGCGTTAAGTTGCGGGGGCTGGGGAGCGGCGGGCGCCATCGCAGGCGCGGAAGAGGGCGTGGATTTCATCGTCCTTAGGGGTTCGGCGCTGGTGCGTCGTTCCATCGCCGTGACGCCGCTGGATTGTGGTGAGCGGGTGCGCTGGTGGGTTCACGTCGCTCAATCGCCCTCCTGATCTTGAACGGAGGTACACCGGGCGTTGCCCTGACGCCTTGTGCTGGCATCGCATTCCGTCGCCCCGTGCCTCCCCTGACCCCTTTGCGTCGTGACGCCGAGCGCGACCGGGACACCTTTCTTCGTGTCGCCGGCCCGCAGGCCTTGTCGACAGCCTCTGGGAAGGACCGAAGGTCCTTTGCAGAATTTGCCAACACCTGGTGTTCCGCGTCTGGATCATCCCCGTGGTTGCCGCTGAGTCAACCTGCACCGAATGGTCGTCCGTGCGGCAGTCGGTCCTGGATGCGGAGTTTAGTCAGTCGCCGTCAGGCCAACAAAAAGGGCGTGTCGCGAGCACCATGCAAATTCGCATTTTGTGGGCAGCTGCATCCACATGGCTCAGCGCCGGCGCAGGCGGGCATAAAATTACCGGCTGCACCAAATCGGGGACTGCTTGCACCAAGTCACGTGCACATCATGTCCAACTCCGTCCAAACTAACCTAACCTAAAACCTAAACCTAAACCTGTCCTAACCCAAACCCTAAAACTCACCCTGAAACGAAACCTAACCCTAAAATTGAGGTTAGGACAAAGTGTGCACGTGACTTGGTGCAAGCAGTCACCGATTTGGTGCAGGGAGTAATACCATTTTGCGCAGAAGCACCAGCTGCGCGGACTGTGCTCGAGTCAGAACTTGCTGGGGCCCACATGTCGGGAGTCGCTGGGGGTCCTTCGCACAAGGACCATCTCGTGGGCCTGGCGGGAGTTGCACGGCCTGGCGTGTCCGTGCACCAGTGGTTGTGTTGGTGCATTGATGTGTCTGTGATGCAATGCATTGCTTGAGCTTATGTTGCTCCACGTGGCATGTGAGGGATATCAGTTGAGACGCCAAAGATCGAAAATTCCGACGGGCGGCACGGCTGCTCCTGTGACAGCCTGTAAGCACAAGTTCTCCAAAAGCCCAGAATTCCAGTCCCTCAACCAGGCTTGGTCTTCACGTTTACGGCACCATCTTATCGTCACGTTTATGGCTCTTGGCGTGAAAAAACACGAAAGCAGAGGAAAGCCCATTCTCATGGCCATATTCACTCATTCTTACGGCACGTCGACACACCCAGTTGCTTGATGGAGTCGCAGGGAATGATCAGTCTGCCACCCCCTCAAGCACCTTCAACATTGCGCCCACCTCGCCCTCTGCAGAGCGACGACGTTGTCGAACAAACAGCCGTCCTGTGCTCACTCCAGCGCATCTGGCTGCCGCTCCTTGAACTCCCTGATTCTATACGTACTGGCTCTATGTACACGAGGCCCATGTTTATGCCGCACAGACCAAGCCTGCAATCAAAAACGGCAGCTCGGACTCTCATGCGCGACCTTGTAGCAATCCCCATGGCTTCATGTGTCGTCAGCTACTTACGGCGGTGACTCACCATTCTTCAAAACTACACAAGAAAAAAGGAATACTTGGCCTGGCGAAACAGCAGAGAACATTAGATGCCCGAAGACCCCCCCACCCCCCCACCCCACCCACACACCCACACACCCACCCCGCCACTGCAAACTGCCCACTGCGCTAGAACTTTGACCAGTTGTCTGACTGTCTGTGGTTGCAAGGATACAGGTCAATTATACCAGAGCCCCCGAGAGTTGGTCCGCCCATGTCGACGGCACCACTGGGCCTCCCGTGGATGAGACGTGACAGCCCAGTGTGTGCGGCACGCGCCATTGCCATCTCGACCCATTGTTGGAGTGTTTTCTCTTCTGTCACTTGTCACTTGAACATCATTCATACTTCAAGCGATTTGGGGTTACTCAGGCCATCCCGTGTTGTGTATAGCAGGAGTCCCGCTGTGGAACTACGGCGGATACCCATCGTTCGCCATAAACAACAGCTATCCGCCTTGAGAAATGGTTGACGTATGTGAGGCGTCCCTCACACACGGAAACTAAGCGTGCAGAGTGGTGATATCGTGGCAATGTTCTTGGAGAAATCCTGCGTTCCCTCTCTGCTGATAAGTTTGCACGACCTGGGGCCGAAGTTGCATGTCGCACTGGTGATACTATCATCGGTGCAATATTGCAGACAGCCATTGGTGACATGCACCATTGAGAGGAATGATGCAATGGACATGGATCCGAGCGGCTGCAACACCTCATGTGCTCCAATCCTGTCACAAGAACGCTTGGCAGGTCAAAAATGTTACAAGTACTGCACCATGATATAACAAACCCCCTACAGCAAACATATTGTGGGTCACCACGTTCCCACTAGTCAGGATGGTCCCCCAGCCGCTTGGTCCCTCTGCCCGCACTGAGCAGGAGCGTTGGATCATTGGCGAGCATCTTTCTCACATCAGTGCCGCTGGGCATCATGCGCCGCAGTTCGTCCAGCACTTCCTCCACAGCTTCAATGTCCAGGAGACCGGGGTGTTTGTCCACAAGGCTGTCCAGATTTTCAACCCTCAGCAACGCACACACCTGCACATTCCGCGAGCATGCAACTGAAGCACACCAGCAGATGCTGGAAGCAACGCAACATCCCCTATTGTTGTGCACCTATTCAGCACAGCATAGTGACAATGAACGTGGCTGCTTGCATCTTTATCTTCCCATATTGCTGCAAAATTGCTGTGGTCAAGTGAGCACTGCTGCTGATCACGTTGCGATTGTTATCTGGGTGTGCAGCAAACAGCGTGTTTTCCCTGAGTTGCGATGCTGAGCCCACCGTTACCATAATCATTTAACTCTGGATGCACCAATGTACCACGGCAACTGGGTTTTCCAAGGCACCAATTCCCCAAACAACAAGAGGCAACAGGACACTGGACATGCCAAAAGAATCTAGATGGCAAGATCTATGGCTTTTGTAGTCCTGGCAAATGTCCCTCGTCCATCTGCAGAAGACGCGTTGCAGGTGGCCACTTGCCAGTTGCAGAAGTTGATCGAAACAAGGACCAGAAAGTGTTACAAAGTGAGCTAGTCAGGAAGCCTCACCTTGCGAGCATCTATCACTATTGTGTCACAATCCTGCAGTAGCATGATGGGCCTCTTGGAAACCATCAAGCTGATGTTCGAATCAGGGAAAGTCTCTTTCAACCGTATCATTTGGTGGGCAGCCTTGTCCAGATCCTGAAGGAGGGCAGCCAGGAGGTCGGGTTTCAGCATGTGGACTTTACTCCCTGTTCATTGGGCACCCAGACAACATGTCAGTGGCCTTTTTCTGAGTTGAAATAAGCAAGCATGCTCAAACAAATGTTTGCAGATTGATTGTGTCCGCCAGCAATCGGAAGTGTTAATGGTATGTGCTTGGGCCTGTGTTGGGAAGGGCAGTCCAAAAGAATGCCTCTCTCACAATGCGTTCAACTCAGGAGGTGCCAACCCGTCAGTCCTCAATGCACAAGCCTCGTGTCTATAAAATACCATCGTCAAACGTGAATATTGCACACATGCCTTGGTGTTGCTAAATGTAGCCAACTTCTGCTTTGTTTACATTATGGTAACCTATTTCAGTCGCTTATGGATAAGAGAATAATGTTGGCAGGACAAAGCTATGGATGCACTCTGTTGTTTGTACTTCCTCCGTCCCAGATCAATTGTCGTCTATTTAGAAGGCTAAATTTGTTATAAGAACAGCCTCAGAATTTCAAAACAAGGTCAAAATCGAAAAGATTGCATCTCAAAACCCTTGACTATCAATTTTCAAGAAGGAAAAGTGAGACATGACCCTTTTGAGCGCAAGAAGAAGGTAAATTTTGGGTAATTTTCGACCTCAAATATTGATATTTACTATGTAAAATGTCCCTTGATACAAAGTACTGCCAAATACTCAATACTTAATGGATTGGCTTGAAATTTTTATGGTGTACTCCCAACTCAAAAAGACAATCGTAGGCAAATTTTCATTAAAAACATATGTGAGCATGATGGAGAAATAGTGCCCCAAAATCATAGACGACAATTAATTTGGGATGGAGGAAGTATCATGCAGTGACAAGTTAAACATGCAAAGCGTGGCTTAGATTTTGTGCTGTTCCACTTGGTGTGTCAAGAAAGTTGACCACAGGTGCCACTGAATTGGCAACAAGAGCTCCAGACACATCGCTCACGGATGTGTTGCTCAACTCACGACCTGTGGTTCTTTGTCAGCAAAAAGTGTTGTGCATTGGATGCAAATTGGTGTGGGCATGCACTGTTGGTGCTCACTTGCGGTGGCCACCAGCCAGCCCTGATCTGTGGCTTGTGCAACAACTCTTCAATCGGCTATTACGTAGACTGGCAGAACGCACCCAGATCTGGAACCAGTGAAACAAGTTCATGCAGGCGAAGTTCCAACTCTTCCTGGCTGAGCTTGAGCTGGTTTGATGCAACTAACTTCACCAATCGAGCCTGCACGATCCCAGAGGAAAAAGCCACTTTCACCATTTTCAAGGTTACTAGACCTCCAGCATTCCAACGATCCAGCCCATGCAATGCATAATACGCAATAGAATATGTGATCGCAACTCAAATCTGTGCACTGCAGTGACACATCCAATTTGCGCAAACTTTTTGTGCTGGGCTGGACAGCAAACACCAATAGATGTTCAGACATTCAGCACCTGAAATTCGGTAAACACTTTGCAACGGACCTCTCCACTGCATAATGAAGTTCTGGAAACTGCCTTTCGTTCTTTGAGCTGCTGCCCTTGTCACTTGGAAGGTGATGACAGCTCCCATGCAACATGATGGCTACATAAGTCTGCATAGATTGTACCTACCAAGCCTACCAAGCCTTACAGATCAAGCCCTTGCACCTCTTAGGTGAGGTTTGACAATGCTCACCACTGACTTGTACCCTCTCCCAACACTACAGGGTCACTTTGAAATGTGACGATATGTCTTGGAACACAAGAAAAACTTGGGGCCGCAGTGAAAATGACAAATGACAACTCCCACCTTGTTTTCATCAGTCCATAGCGTGTCCCTTTCCCTGAGGTCGAAAGTCATTGCCCATGGTGCTGAAATGGATTTTTCTTTTGCGGCACAGGGCTGGAGGCCCCTCCTGCTTGGGCACACGCGGCTGTGCGAAATGCAACATGGAGATGCTTGTTTCCAATCCCCATTGTGGTGCATACTCCTGCAAGTTTATAGGGAACACAAGGTGTTTGAGGCCAATCTGTTGGCCCTGTGCAGATTTTTGATTTCTCTGAGGCACTGGGCATGACCTGCACTGGAGGAAGTTGCAAATCCGACTCTGAAGTGAGCAAACACTGCCACTTTTCACAAGGCACTGCACAAAATGGAGTCACATTCTCGTTCATATTGTGCTCCCACACGTCAACTCGCTCAAACTTTTGCAGCCCAGCATTCCACATTCCAGTAAAATACACGATGCAGCTTCAGAATCTCACAGCTTGATCCGCGACCCCTACACTCCAATCGATAAGCATCATTTTGCATTAGGAACCTGAAGAATCGGCACCCGGTGGCTTACTACCAACTTGCAAAGCGAGTCCCTGAGTCGATTATTGTCAGGTCGAATGCCCCAAGCTTACGTAAACTCAGTTTCGATACCCAATGGCTTTGAACACCGATGGCCTTGTCAGGCACCAGTGTCTCCCACTGTGAACGCGTCGGCTGGGCCACGACTCGTGCATCCATGTTTGCACCTGCAGATTCCGGTCCCGTCCAATCCCTGGTGCTTCAATGCGCGTGCTACGGTCGTGCTACAGTCAGTAGGCCCCGTTGGTTCCCCAGGAGGAGCCCACTTCCCGTCCTGCAGAACAGAGTTCGATTGGTGCGCCTCAGCTGACCAAGAAGCGGCGCAACCTCACCTTGCGCCGTCCCGGAGTCCCGCCACGTGGCCAGGCACCATCGGAGGCAGCCAAAGGCCGCTCTCCTCCTGCCCAAGTCGCGCCCCGCCAGGAGGAAGAGGATGGCGCAGTGGTGCAGAGTACGCACACGAGGTGGGGGACGTCACCAGCAGGTTTATTTCGTGATTGGGGGAATGATTCGGAATGAGTGAGCGTCAACTGCGGGAACCTGGTGTGAATGTCCGGCAAGATACGCCCGAAGAAACACACAGCCCGCGAGCCGATGCAGTGGCCTCGCAATAGCGACCTTGTGTGGCGCAGAATATGGACGTCGCCAATGGTGGCTGATGCGTGACCGCGTTGCAGATGCCTGTTGTTAGCAGCAATGACACCCCCGCAAGTAATCTTGTTTCTTTGTCTTAACGAGAACATTAACTCTCAAAAAAGTTCTGACACATTGTTTACTTGGCGAAGAACTTAGAGAAGACTTGGAGAACGCAAGTGTGATGTCGTGTGCTGGGCATCCCCTTCCCTGAGGACCATTCTGTCTTTTTGTGGCAGTGAACAGTTTTGTTGCTTTTTCTCATTGTCACGTTGTTGCTCTTTTTGGTAGGCGTGCGCCGTGGGCGTGGTATACCCACCGTCAGCCTTGTGGACAAGCAGTGCACCCAAAAAAACGGTGGTCGCCAGGAGGTCTCCGCGAACACAACGCCAAGAGGATGGCGCCGTTGCGGCAAGCGCCAAGAGTCCCTCCTTGATGGGTACACGGCATCAAAAACTCACGGCCTGGCATGGCCGCAGCGCTTCACCGCCATCACACATGTCGGATCCGCTGCGGAGCTGGCTGGTCGCTCCCCCCGGCACACAGGGAACCCGCACTTGGGGCGCACACAGGCGCGCTGCCATCCATCGCGAGACCCTCATGCCGCGCGCTTGGCCAAAAGCCCGTTGACGGTACCAAAAATCGCCAACACTTCCCCCACAGACCGCTTTTTCGCCCACCTGTCGCATATCACACCGGGCTCGAAGGCCCACGGCCACGCCATGCAACATCGTCCACGCCCTTGGGCCCCCATGTACAAGCTCCCGTCAGCTTGACAGTTTGGTTACCAGGCCAGCCACCCACGCCGCTGTTCGGCTCGTCGGCTCTCGCTCGCGCCGGGCGGGGTCGACCAACGCGCCATGGAGGGCGTCCCAGTGACCCGCGGCCAGCAGTTCCGCCTGCGGCGCGTGCTGAGCTCGAGGCTGTTTCGGAAAGGCGGCAAGACTTTGGGCACGCTGGTGAGCAAGGGGGGGATGCCCCCGGCCCCGGCATGCGGACCCAGGCCTGCTGAGGCCGAGTTGAATCGTCGCGCCGGACGCTCGCTTGGTTCCTTCGTTGCCGACTGCTGGTGCGAGGCGGGTGGGGCGCGGTCCGGAAGGTGCTGGTGTTGGACCCCCTGCTTCCGAGCGGACGCTGGGGGCAGCATCTTGGCGCTGTGCGAGTGGTTTGAAAGGGCCCTGCAGGACCCCCCGCCCCAGCGCTTCGGGACGCGCATCCGATCAATCGATCCTCCTGGGAGACTGCATGCGCACAGTGCCCGCCCTGGCCTTGCCTCACACTGCCTCCGTGCTCCCATCCGCGCAGGGGACCTTCGACACCTTCGACATGAAGTCGCCCACGCACATCATTGACCCGCTGAGCCTGTCCTACCGCATGTGGTGGTACCTCACCACGGTATGCGCCATCGCCACGGCTCTCTTCACGCCCTGGGAGGTGGCCTTTGACGAGAAGCCGGGGCTGAGGTGGGGCTGTGGGCGGCCGGGCCGCATCGCGCGATCTTGCGCTCCCGTCCGTTTGACGCTCGAGCGACCGTCGCTGGCGGGGGTCACCTTCCGTGCCTCGCCCTTGCGCTGCGGAACGCGCGTTCGGCGTCTCTGAGCGGCTGGCCGCAATGTTGCACGCCCGCACCGCCCCGCCCAGCGGAAGGCCTGTAGATTAGAGCCCGGGCTTCGTCGGGCCGCAGTGGCCGCGAGCGACTGTGGAAAGTGGTCAACGGTGGGATGGTTGGACCTTTCGGCAAGAAAAAGGCACATGTTGCATCAAATGGATGTCGACGGGAACAGCGGCGCTGTCAGTGCGCGACGCGCTCAGGCGCGTGGTCGCCCGCGTAGAGTCCCGACGGCGGTGACGCCCCGCGGGCCAGGACGTCGATCGCAACGAAGTTGGCCGAACTGCGGGGTGGTGTGGCTTGCAGTCACACCAGAAATGCGCCACGGCTGCCCGCTGCTCGGAATCGGTCACACGCGGGCTGGCAGCGCTCTTCGTCGACGCGCGCCCGTTCAGCGAGACTTCCAGATTTCAAGGGACCAACAAACGCGAACAGACCCGGGGCGGCCATTCCAAGCGGCGCCAAGCGCCCCCCACCCCAGCATTTCTGTCAGTGCATGCCGGATTGTTTGCCAGATGCACTTGCAGTACATCAATGTCTCCCTTGATAGGAATTTGGTTGGAAGCTGGTGGCTTTCCGATTCCTTTGTTGTCCAACGATTGTCTGGTCGATGAACCACAGCATCCTGGCCCACAATGGCACGAGGCAAGTCGCCGATTGTACTGGAGGTTGTGTGGTTCGCAAAATGGGCGTGTGAGCAGCAACAAACTTCTCTCTGCCCTTAGGCCCTACAATGATGTTGAAGCAATTGTGGAGTACGTCCTGACGGCTGTGTTCCTGTTGGACATCGTTGTCCAGTTCAATCTGGCCTTTGAGAAGAGCAATGGCATTCTGGAGTGCACCAGAAGGGAAATTGCTCAGCAGTATCTGAGGTGCGGTGCACTGCAAAGGAACTGAATTTGTAGCAGAACACGCATTCAGAACAAATGGGTACCAGTCTGAAGTGCACTTGACATATGCTGTGCTCGTTTTTCCTTGAAAAAGTGTTCCAGTACAATTTGTGATGCCCCTTGCCGACTTGGTTTGGAAGAAGGGCAAACACTTTTTGCCTGGCAGCTACAACCTTCAATGCCAGATGAAGACTGTGCCTGCTGCTTTGTGTGCTGCTGCACCTGCGGTGCTGCCATTATACATATTGGGTCCTGGAACAGTGCTTGTCTAGCGAACTTATTAGTCTGCCCAGTGGGAATGTATTGGTCCCCTTTGTTTACATTGCACTGCCCATGAAAATCAGAATCCCAGAGCTGTGACAGACTTGAGGTAGGACTGCATACATGTATCCCAAAAAGAGAGTACGCAGTGCTGGGACATTGGCAATGTCATTTCTGTCATAGATCTCCAAAGCAACCATGTTTGTGAAGAATACAGAAGAAGGCATATAGCTGTGGTCCTTGGGACTCGGTATGAATGATCTGATGGCACAACGTCATTTGTTTGTAGCTCCCCACGACAACAAAGTTCATTACGAATGAGGAAAAGCTTGTGGGCATGTTCTCTGGGGCTCAATATAATTGCTGTCAAATCAGTGCTGAAGGCTGTAAGCTGTTCAATTCATGCAGCAATTTGGATGGAGGAATTAGAAAATAGAACAAGCTGTGCCAATTGAATACTTCACCATTTCCAATGAACAGCTTGCAGTGCTAATTGGCTGTTTCTGCTGCTTGAGTGTTGAAAATGAGCGCTGTCGTGACTGTTCTTCTGGGAAGGATTTGCTCCTTTCTTGATTTTGAAGCTCTTTTTACCCGCTTGTGTCCATTTGTCAACATTAGCAAAGTTGGCCATTCATGTCAAGCACACATGTTCCTTGTGCTCTGCAGATCCATGTTCTGGATCGATTTCATTGGTGTATTTCCCTTTTCTGCGATCGGAGAGCACATACATGGCAACTTTGGCGAGATGACGCTCCGGTACCTGGCCTTGTTCAGGCTCTTGAGATTGGTGAGCAGCATTCGTGCCAGAAGCAGACAATTTTGTAACATTTCAACTATTTACCTTGCAATATTCAGAGCCTAGTTACGCTTCGTTGAGCCAGTGTGTGCACAGTGGCAGAAGCAAGCAAGCTATCCTCCTGGGACAAGTGCAGTGCAAAAAGGAGCATAGAACAGCAAAGCCAACCGCACAAGCCCAAAAACGACTAGTGGGCTTGTGCCTAACATGGCTGCTGTGCCCATTTTCCTGTGGATTCAAAAGGATTCTTGTGTTTCTCGCGCTTTGGCTCGTCTGAATTGAAAACAAATGTGTTCATGGCTGGCCCATCCCATCCACTGCCAGTATGGCTATGCCAACTCCGATGAAGGCACCTTTGTGCCACTCCTCAAAACATCCAGGCTCTTCTCCTGCACTGAGGCTTCAAGAAGCGGTGCGGAGCTGAAAGTTGTGTGCTATGCTGACGTGCGAATTCACATCCAATCAACACTTTGCAACGTCGAAAAGCACAATTGTACCATGGTTGCCATGTGCTGGTGGCAACGAGTTTCTGTAACTTCTGTTCAATGTTCCACATATGACAATTCTGTTGGCATCCTAGCTGTTGAGGATCATGGGCATGCGCAACTTTCCTGTGACTGATTTTCGTTTGTCCAATGCAGGCTATGGAAATTGCAAGAGAACTGTCTTGTTGTGTGGCAGCACATGCCATTCTCTGCAACATGCGCACCTGTAAATGGAGGATCGCTAACATGGCCCAAACCCTTAGAGCCACAGATTATGGCCACTTGTGTGGCCAGCAAGAGATCTGCTGTTTGCAGATGGCAAGGACTCACTGCAGCATGGAAGGGAAACATATCATGCAATAGGCACACCCTTGTGAGAAAAGTTGTCGGTCTCTGCTCCAGTCATTTGGCAGGAGCCACTGAAGGCACAGTAAGCATACACCTTACCATGCCCAGCAATTGCAAAAGCATAAGTACTGGGTTGACTTTTGGGAACTGTTCAAGACTGTATCTGACAACATTCATTGCCATCCACACCTCCCACCAGGAATGACTCCCCACTTGTTGCCTGCCAATCAATTAAAACAACAAACAGTAAACAATTTCATGAAGTAGCAGTGGACGATCCCCATTATCAGTGCTCCTCTCTGGTTCTATTTTCAGGTTCGCCTGCATCGCATCCGGCGGCTATTCCGTGAGCTGGAGACAAATTTGACACTGAGTCGATTGGCTGTCACTTTCTTCAGAAATTTGACCATCGTTGTCTTGTCGACGCACATTGCTGGCTGCTTGTTCTATTTCATTTCTAGACAGGTGAGGCTTGGGCAAGATCTTAACTGCCTTGTGTCATTGTCTCTCCAAAGACAGGGCCATTGCCCCAGCATTTCCTTGTTCTTGCAATGAGTGGACTGGCTTGTCTTATAGTGGAGCGCATTACAGTCTGTGCCAAAAACAGTTGCAGGTTATGGGAATTGATATAACACAGCGATGAGTGCAATGACTTTGTTATAGGTCTGCTGTGCAAGACCGGCCTGTAGCAGTCGTTGTGCCCCAATTGGCTACAGTATTCTGTACTTACACTCTGCTGCACAGCCCCTTGGCACTAATAGATAACTGTACATCGTTTCCAAGGCCCTTTGCAGTGCTATGCCAAGTTGTGTGTGCTCATCTATCGTCTGCGGTACTGTGTTGCCCGCACACGTACCCTTTAAACATTGCATCTGCTAGAGTCACATGCTGTGCCATGAGGTTGGACAAACAGTGGGTGTTGCACAGCTTGCCTAGTACTTGCCAGATAGCGCAATGCAGATTCCCAGTCAACCCATCTTGACTCGTTGTGCACCTGTTGACAGCATGGACTGTACGACCTCTGCACCGAAGATGCAGAGGATTGCAGCGACAATATTATGGATGCAGAAGACACCTGGATTGGTGCGACAGTAAACCTATTGGACCTGTCACGGACAGAAAAGTACATTTATGCCCTGTACTGGTCGATCACGACCATGACAACAGTGGGGTATGGTGACCTGTCACCGAAGAACACCGCAGAAGTCATTTTCGCGATGGTGTACATGATATACAACATGGCCCTTGTGGCTTACATTTTGGGGACCATCACGCTGCTGGTGGTGAGGGCGGACGAGTCTACTGGAGAGCTGAGGGAGTGCTACAGGCACGTCACATCCTTTGCCAGGCTGAACAACTTGCCAAAGGACCTGAGGCAGTCGCTGAAGGTAGGTCGATTGATTGATTGTGGTCGCAGTGTGCTTGCACTGCAGTCATGCGCAGTGGCAGTGGTTGTGTTGCAAGTGTTCAACATGAAGTCAAGTGGATTGTTTCTCAGTGGCCAGGCTGAAGATGATGTTTGTGGGTAGTTAGAGGTTATTGCTGCTGGCAAAATTTTTTCTATTTTCCCCTGCAAGGCGATGGAAAACAAATTTGTCAGTGTCTGCAATTGTGTAACATACTGAGTTCATGTGTTGTCATGGGCCACCTTGTTTTCTTTTTTGCATGATTCAGATACTTTTGAGGAAGGGTGGGTGGGTCTAGTTTTGGCTACAACCACCAATGGGGCAAGAAAATAGGGTGTGAGCACCACCTAACGGGGTGTGTGTTGGGTGTGGTGGTTTGGTGTTTGGTGAGGGGTGGGATTTCGCACTGTAAATGGGCAAAGATGGTGGAGGCAAGTTGCCCCTTTGAATAATTACGCCATTTTTCGTCACCGATGGTGGCTCCAGACATTAATTGTGTGGGGTCCTTTTGTATGTCCAGAACCAAATGCAGTTTAATTTGGCCCATCCAGAGGTCGAGGATGACCTTGTGCTGAAAGACCTGCCTGCTGGTCTGCGGAGGCGAGTCGTTAAGGAGCTGTATGTGGAGAAACTCAAGGCAACACCAACATTTCGGGTGAGTTGTGATTGCATTTCTGCTTTCAACACGAATACATGCAATCTTCTGCCACCATCTTTCTGCTTCCTGGCCACGCAGGACCAGCACTGCCGTTTCTTTGTGGGTGCGTGTGTGTGTTTGCTCAATCAGTCATCGTGGGATGGGACCCTTGACAAGGTTAATGCCAGGAATTTTAACCACAGGTGCACTTCACACCTTGTTGCGGCATGCATGCTGGCTGGGCTGAAACACAATGGGCAATAGTTGACAAATTGTGCTGATAAGTCGTCCTGCTGTTTGTCCTGTCGTGCGGAATTTCTCTTTCGAAGAGCAGGTATCTGCAAGCGCATGCAGCTGCATCCCTGGCTTGATGAGAACTTTTGGCCGCCTGTTGAGACCAGTTTAAGGTTGGGCCCGTTGCAACAACAGAGATAATGTTATGAGGCTAGACACAGATTGGCATTAGACTCTGCTGTGCAGTGCCATGAACTGCTGACTGCGACCATGCAGCAAGGCTATAATTGCAGCCATCCATGAATATGCAGGAGTGCTCAGAGAAGTTCCTGACTTCATTGTGCATACCTAAAAATGTGCGGGTGGACACCTACCTGCCATACCAGCTGATCTTTGAGATGGGGGAGTTGCTGCCTGAATTGCACCTGATGATCGATGGGGAGGCAGTCAAGAAGCAGGCAGCAGCACCGATTGGCGGGTGGGTCGGCTCGCCCAGGGAGGTGGGAGAGCTGGGCAAGGGGGACCTGTTTTGCCCAGATGCCTTCTACAATGAGACACCGGCACAATGGGCGGTGCACACCAGGAGCATTTGCAGGGTGCTGGTGATCCCCAAGGATGCTTTTGACAAAGTGTCAGCACAGTTCCCCGAAGATGCCCGCATTGTGAAGACCAACATCATGAAGCAATGCAGGGTGCGCTTGCCAAGAGCAGTCCTTCCTCAGATCGGCAGGGCACCATGCACTCTGAATTCCCAGTTTCTGGCATCGTGTGAAGGACAGACGAACTACCAATCTCCCTGTCTGTTTGCAGTACGCAGTGCAGGGCCATGCATTCTTATCTTGGAATGTGTTCAGAATGCCTTCTGTGCCATGTGCTATGCCTGTTGCACTTGTAGAACTGTCTATCATCTTCTGCAGTACAGATGGTGTTCTCCCAACTGTGCTCCTCACGAAGAAGGTCCTCTTGCGTGATGTGCTTGCCTTTCTGTGTAGTTGTTGCAATATTCACTCCCTTCGTGTGGTTTGCAATGTCACTGGTTGCCTGTCCTCAGGAGTGAGCATTGGCAAATGTTCCTCACCAGCTTTCGTTCATGTGAAACCTGACAGCCCCACAAGATTGGATTGGATTCCACTGTGTTCTGTGTATCCACTACTATCATCAATGGAGGATGCCTTCCCCTGTGCACAGTGTAAATTCTGTGTATCACCTCCAGGCACCCCACTTCCCAGGTGCGCCGGGAGCTCTGAACAAGGACGGTGCCAATGGCACAGGCTCGATTCAGGAGGAGCCGCTCCTGAAGGCGGGAACCTCGGCAGCAGACAGTCCATTCATGGGACCTGGAGGTGCACAAAAGTTGAACAAGGTGAAGGGGAACCCATCCATATACCACGACACCCCAGCAGCGAGTGCCACCCGGAAGGATGGCCAAGTTGTGCATGTGTTGTGTGTACAGCCAGGACAGGGAATTGTTTGCCTGCTGTGGTGAAATGTGGAGCAGCATGTGTCTGTACACACAGTTGCTAGGTGCCACTGATTGTTGACACGATCACGATTCCCACGCAAAGCTTATCACAACTTGGAACTGTGGAACTGAATTCCACAGTAGTGAAGGAAGGATTGAACAACCTCCGAGATTCCCAGTACTGATGCAGCTTGTGAGGTGCGCTGATCTGTTCAGGTGGACCCCCTACGCCGAGGCATCTCTCTTGATGCGTCACCTACCACGCCAGCAGCTGGACATATGGTGCCAAGAATGATGAGCTATGATGGAAAATACATGTTGAAAGAAGACTCAAGGTCTGTCCTTCAATCTGATCAAGATTTTTTTTCAGAAATGCACATGCTGAGGAATTTCTTGGACAAGTGCAGTTCACTTAGCAGAATGGAACTTCATTTGTTGAGTACTGGGTTTTGCAGCTGTCGCTTTCTGAGCATTGCTCACTGAGGAATTTGAATGGGTGGATCACGCCAGTGCTTTTGTACCTGTATTCATTCTTACCAACACTCCACAGTTCAGCAGTCATTCAGCTCGCTTCATGGAAAACTCTATGGGGCAGTAGCTCAACGATGTGATGAAATGTGATGAAATTTCTCCAATCCATGTGGAATAAAACACGAACCCAGTGTATGCAGTCCAAGTTTTTCTCATAGTTGGGAAGACAGAAATAGCAGTTTGTAATTGCTCTTTGACTTGTTAGTACTGTAAATGCCACAGGGACTCATCTAGAGTGTCAGTTGGTGTCTGGAGGACATGCAGAAGGGGCATGCACACAAGTAACAGGAATATCCTTGTGGTTACAAGCTGTTTCTCTCTTGGCCCTGATTTCCGAGAATGTGGTATTGTTGTGTACTGTTGCAGTGTTGTGGAGGGGTTTGTCTCAGCTGTTTGATTACATGTCCTTCAGTTGCCACATTCGACCCCCTCTCTCAGACAATCCCCAGTGGTCCCTGCCCTGCCCTTTGCACCTTGCAGTGCTGGCATCAAGGAAGCATGGTCCGTAAGTCCCACTCTTTGTCAGTGGCCTCATGCTACTCGCCTATCAGGTGCAAGGGAAGCAAAGTGCCTTGCTTGGGGATGGTACCCTGGTACAGGACACCCGGGTACCCGGACCGCGGACTGGTTTTTCTTGTACCCGCCTAACTGGTACCCGCCAACCCTTGTACCCGGGTAGGCGGGTACGGGTACGTGCCCGGGTATAGGCGGGTACAGGCGGGTACCCGAATTATCCGGGTACGGACCCGTGTACTGTGCAATTGACAAGTGGCCGCTCGGTGCGTTGCAATTGCTTCACACCGCGTTGGTCTCAGCGAAAGGTCAACCCCGTCGAACACTCCGTGTGGCTACGTCCGCCGCAAAACGACGAGAGTGGGAGGTCAAACCTCGCCTCCCACTCCCCCCACATTTGCCCCTTGTGGCCACCGGCTGGTGCCCCCCGCGAGTGCTTAGATTGACACCCCCGAGTGGCATCAACTGGCGCCCACGGGGGCCGGATGCCGAAGGTCAACTACAACCCGCGCGGCGCCCAAATCTTGGGTGCAAAACACGCGCTGGGACAGCAGGAGTGGGAGGCCGAGCGTTGCCTGCCACTCCCGCACCTTTGCTCCTCGCGGCCACCAACTGGTGCCACCGGCGGGTGCCCTCATTAGCATCCGCGAATGGCATCAATCGGCGCCCCCAAGGAGCCAATTGGGCACCACGCCTCGCCGTGCGTAGGCGGAGATCCGCTGCGGATCTCGTGCCTCCCACGGCCTCTCGGGGAGGCCTGCTACCCCGCCCTTTCCCGGACGCAGCGTCCGTCCGTCCACGAAATATCGTGTTCGCAGAAACGGACGGGTAGGTGTAGGTGTAGGTGTGGGTGTGTTGCAGAGTGTGGAACGGTTCCTAGGAAGTCACCGCTTCCTTTCTGAACCACCCAAGAGACCAGTGTAGCAAAGCCGAAATGTCCCAGAACGAAAGAACGCTGGAAACGGACGGCAACGGAAACGGACGGGCGCCGCAACCTCCGTGTACGTCGGGTGCCAGACCTCGTCTGAGCTGTACACTGGCCCTGTTTATCCTGGCAAATTTAAGCAACGGTTTTACACTGTCACGTGGAGTGGTTTCTAGGCCCACTCTGCAGCTACGGGCGACGGGCCTTCTTGCCTCCAATTGCCCCTGTGTTGAATTCTGCGTTGGTTGCTTTTGTCACAAGACGAACGGCTCCTCGTTGACACTGAAGCTGTGCAAATAGCACAATTTGCAGTGCAATGAACTGTGCATAGCGAATCAGTTGTCGCAGTTGTATGTGGGATTGGTTAGGGTAACCTGCTCTTTTGGGCTTTCTTGAAGTGTTGAACATCGGGGACTTTAGCCTTCTTCTCTTTGGCTGCTGCAGATCCCCGAATGGTCAAGCGCAGTAAACAACAGCACAAGGGCCTCTGTCCTTCACTCCTGCTTGTCAAGTGCTGGCGCAGTCATCGTTGCTGAAGATTGTCTTGCTGCAGCAAGACACAAGGCCTGGTTCGGCGCTGTTGGTTTAATGCTGCATTGGTGGGGGATGGCATTCAGGCTGGCTTCGATAGGCCGGACCTGAAACTCGAAAACTGGGCGGAAGATAGTCAGGGGTATTCTTTTTGATTGTGGGATTTCAATCTTCATTTCATGGCGGGGAGACGTTGCCAGCGCTTGTGAAGTGTCATTTTCCCATTGCCCTTATTTTTCCCTCCTTTTATTGGTTTGTCATGGGCCCACGGTTGTTGTGGAGTGCGCGGTGGCTGCTTTTGAATCAGCCCACCTAGTTGCCATTGTGTATCAGTGGTCAGGGGGGCTGCGAGGCGCCCTCTCTGATGAAACGAACCCTTGGGATTGCGAGCGCTGTGGCCATAGTTGACGGCATCTGAGGGGCGGAGCGAAACGACCAAAAACTGCACAGAAGTAGAATGCTGGCGCTCCTTGCCGTGGCGTTGTGTAGGTATGTCGAGGGCGTGCTGATCGATGGGGAAGATATGACAGCAATCGATCGGCGAACTATTTCATCCCCCTTACATCCGCACTTCAGTGCTTGAAATGCCGATCTGGAAGTGTCGTGAGTGGATTCGGACCCCCCGCGCAAAACGACTGACGGCCCTGCCGGCCGGCCGCAGATTTGTTCAAAGTTTGCAGATGTTGGTTTCGGGAATGCGTTGCCTCAGTGTTGGGGATCCGCCTCTGGGGTGTTGACTGCAGGATTGCAGCATGTTATGGTGACGATGTGATGATTTTGCCTTGTTATGTAAAATTCCATGATGATAACGATGACGGTGTGACGCAGTTTTAATGCCTCCAGCTTCCATCCACTTTTGCACGCCCGACATCTGTCGACTATGTGCCAGCGCAGTGCATGATTCGGCATCGACACCATTGCATTCAAATGGATGGATGGCCTTGTTTTCCCTTCCACAGATGGCAGTTGACCGTATGATACAGAAAAGTGGCATTGTGGCATTGCCGTGAACTATGTGCCGTGTGGCTTGTCGTTCTTGACCAATGTACAGGGTGTCCCAGTGGGTTAGCGTCATAAATCTGCAGAAATGTAGCGAAACACCGCCCTTGCGCCTGCCAATGCGATGCTGGAGGTAGTAGGCTGGCGCAGGGTCTGATGTGCTCGCTTATACAAACCAACGCTGTGTAAGAGTGCCTCCCGAGTGGCAAAGCTACAGTCTCGCCTCCCTCTTGTTCCCCTTTCTGGGCCTGGTTTTGGTGCAAGGTACATAGGAGCATTTTATCGATCAGTGCTATTGCACCAGCAGTGCTATGCAGGAACGGCTGCTGTGCCACCTTATTGAGGCGACATTTGCCGAGCAGCACCGGTGCTACAGTTCCCTGTGGTCATCCGTTGCGTTGGGTGCTGCTGCTGTGCCGAACAGCGTCATGGCACCGCGCTGTGTTTTGCGCGAATATCGCCAGGTGCTCTTCTGGGTTGGTATTTGGCATCGAGCAAAGCTATTCGCCCAAATACACCGCTCGGAGCCACATAGCATCAGGGTGGTATAGCTCCCCCAACCTTTACCGTAAAATATTAAACCCTTCCGCATCGGTCCATCCCGACCGTTACGTTTTTGCTCCGCATTTTCGTCCCAGACCGTTACGTTATTTTTTCTTTTGCTCCGCATCGTGTCGGGCGGTCTCTGAGGGGGCTGTAGAGCCTGTATACCAAGTTTCAGGTGCAACGGACGAGTCCCAAGCCTCGTACGGGCATGCATCGTACGACGCCAACCACCCAGCTTTGGGGACGCTTCCCAACAGTCCTAGTGACTTGCGAGGACAGGCGCGGCTGGACAGTGGGCGTCGAGTGCCATGGAACATGTGCTCTTGGGTGCAGCGACACAGTGTGGCTGCGCGGCGTCAATGGCGATGTCTGTTCCCCAGGCGCCGCGCCCCCTCCGGGCGCCGCACCCCCCTGGCCGGCTGTTGGTCAACGGGCGCGCGCCCGCCGACGGCCCCCACTCCCCGCCTGTGCCGTTCCGTATTGGCACCTTCGGCGTCAGTGCCCACTCTCCCCGCCGCCCGGATGGCAAGCAGCGGGCGCCTGCCTGCCGATCGATCGCCCATGAGCCTGCCGGATGGCGGGGAGCGCCGAGAGGATGGCGCAAGGCGGGGTGGGCGGCCCACCGTGGGCTTTCGCGTGTCCAATCGGCGGCGGGCCGTGCGACGCGATCGGCTGCCTGGGTCGATCCGTGATGGCGCAGGAATATGCCTGCGATCGCTTCCCGCGGTTCGAGGCCCGACTCGCCCGGTAGGCAAGCGGCGGGCGCCGGCCTGCCTGCCGATCGACCGCTCAGTGGCCTGCCAGGTGCCAGGGCCAAGCCCGTTCTAAAGCTGCTCCCCGGCGTTACTAAATTCGGCTGCTCCGCATCTCGCTCCGGCACCGTTACTTTTATATTCATCGACTCCGCGAAAAAGGGCCCAGCGTTACGTTACTACCGTATTTACCCGGTATTAGTAGGCGGGTGTTGGACCCCAAAACTGAGCGGTGGATACTAATAGTGGGTCATGTATACTAACGCGGTTTGGACCCCTGATCCCAAAGAGCAGACAGAGAAAAATTTTGACAAACAGGCTGTGAAATGCCCAGAAATGGACAAGAATGGCTATGCTAGTGCGGAATGTTGTCAGCCCCTTGACGGGAGCTGGCGGCCTTGACTTGGGGGCTACATCAGGTGGTGGCGACTGGCGATTGGGGCCAATAGGGGTTCCCTGGAATGCTTGAGGCGCGTTTTCCTCTGCAATGCAAAGAACGAGGATTGATATGTGTCTCAACTCGCTGGGGCGCAACGTCGCAACGATAAACTTGAAACGCAGCGCTTTGCGGGGCTGATGGCGGCTGGGAAGGCTGATGTGATTTGTGATTGTGTTTGTGGCCTGGTAGCTAGTACGATGTGCGAGTTGGGGACGGGCCTGGCCTTGGCAGTGCTTTGTAGGTAGTTTTGAAAGGTGGGATCTCACAACGGCAGCCGCCCCGACCAACGCCATCGCCTGCCCATTCCTGGCGCTGGGCCTTGGGGCGCCCTTGGCAGGCGGCAGGCCGGAACCTACACTGGCCGGGCAGGGAAGAGGTTAACTCAATCCAGAAACAAGGTGGCCTTGATTTCTCGACTGCTTCTTTGATTGGGCCCCACGGCATCGGTCGATGCCCTGCGATCCTGCGCTGAGAGCGCAAACGGCGGCCAGTCAACCATGCGGCCCTTCCCAAGCCCTCTTTCAAATTCTCAATCGACACCATCCACTCCGACCCGATCGTCCCCGTCGATGTGCGAATCGCAGGGAACACGGTTTGGTCTAATCTAGGCAACGCGGTCCAACACCAGTTGCCGACTTCCCTTGCCACCATCCGTGCCTTTGCTCGTTTCTGTCTGCGTTTGGGGGTGGATACTAACACCGGGTCATGGATACTAACGTGGTTTCGAACCCCAAAGAGGGGGGTGGATACTAATAGGGGGTGCCTACTAATACCGGGTAAATACGGTATGCGGAAGGGTTTAAAAAACTACGGTATTGATGGTTTTCCGACGTGTGGTGCCATTCAGGTGACTGCATAGCACCACCAGCGTAATGGCCCCCACCGATAAAGATGCACTAAAGACTGCAATACTCCTCTATTCCGACTTTCAGGTCCAGGCGTCTCAGCGTCCGTCTGCAATTATGCGGACGGACGGACCATCAGCGGACGGACAAATTAGCGGACGGACGCTAGCAAGTTCGTGGACACCAATGGATGACTACGCCTCCTGCACCAATTTGCAGAGGGGCCATCTGCCTGCGAATAAGCACAACGCTCATTCGCAGACAAACGGGCCTTTCTTCGCGCATGCACCACGGTGACCCTGCCTGCTGCACACCGTGGCGTCTCACATCCGGGCTTTCTGCAATCACAGCACATCACGCCCTATGTCAACAGCCCGCCTGACCATCGCGCACACCCATTTCTTTTACAAAACCCGTACGTGAGCATAATACATGCGACCTAAGCCCAGGTAACAGCTGTACTGAAACGAACAACCCCTGCTGCCACTGAAACTCCGTGCAGGCGCACCGCGCAATTGGCGAGAGACTGGCTCACAAACAGATTCCCCTCTGACAGCGTAACGCCTTCGTCAACGTTCGAGACCAAACAAGACAGTTGCCGTCACACCAGCCCTCGTCCAACCACGAAAGGAAAGAGAAGAAATGTCAACCAGCCTCCCAGCGCCCACAGCAGTGGGCTATCGCGTCACGAGGCCCAGCTCCACAAATTTGACAACAAAGGCCATGAACAGACCACTGCTGACTAAGGCCCGGAATTCCACCGGCAGTCCCACAAGCTCAAACACAACTTCACACGCCTCCGCAAATCTGCCACCCAAACCCTCGCACCGCATCCTCGTGCCTAGGACGGCGTTGTGTATTACGTATGCGACACAGAGTGACAGCAACAATCTCGACAGCGCCCTGAAAAACTCCTGCGCCATGGCCCCCAGCCCGTGCCATTTGTTGGGGTGCTCATCGGCGGCCGCACCGCCGGAAGGCACCCCTTGCAGCCATTTGTACACTGCCGGCAGGATCATGAGGATCCTCAGCGGGAAGATGAGGGCCAGCATGAAGGCGCTGGCGTCGCGATGCAGCCTGTCCGACATCACGAACGCCTTAAGGCCCCGGTCTTTCTTTTCCACCTGCTCCACGATCTCGAAAGGCAGGTCGTCAATTGGGAACGACCTGATGGCACGAGAGAAGGCGGCTGCAGTGAGCTTCTGACCGAAATGACTCAGAATTCAATGACACTGCGTCGCTTTCGACTTGGGGATTAACAATGGCGAAAAAGGCCGCACATGCAATCAACCCAAGTCTACGTCGAGCTAGGGAAGGTGCCACGTCGATTTTGTCACGCTCAGCGTCGGTTCGGCGTCAAGCTCTGACCCCACACCCCTTCGCAGCAACATCATAACACGGGGCAGCGTGATGGTTGCCCTGACAGAGAAGCCAACATAGCTAACAGTGGTCGTCTTTCCTTCGGGTGTTCTCGCTTCCGACTTTCAGCAACGAATTGACAATGCGAAGCTGTCAAACGTACTACGAATGCAGCCACCAGAGTGCTGCGTGAACAGCACGATGCGGGCCTGCGTCTGAGCGAAGGAGGGGAGGGAGGGCTGAAGAGCACATAGCAAACCCGAGTTCACAAAGGAACAGCAAATTCATGCAGGAAGGGCCTAATAACACAGCCCAACAAATGGCGCCTAATTTGCTTAGCGCATGAGGTACCCTGCAACCAAGACCGATGGCAGCTCCTTCTGCCCACCATTCCGCAGCCAACAGACAAAAGCCAATGGGTGGGCGTCGTTCCCCCAATTGTAGAGTCAGACAACGCTGGACGGCGTGGTGTTGCGGTGCCAAACAGCAGGCGAGCAATCGACCGAATATATTACGAACGCACAATGCATATATAGCAATGATGAATGAGTGCGTACGCAGATACCTTGTCACAGTTGACATCGTACACCGCACCATCCTCCCAAACAAGGTTCAGCACAACAGGAAGAACAAAATAAAATTGAAACAGATAAAGTACATACCCTTCCAAGGCTGCCATTCAGGGTGTCTACAAAAGGAAAAGGAGTACTATAAATACAGCGGGACCTATGAGACACGTGCACGAGAGCTGCCCAGCTGCCCAGCTGCCCAGCGGCACAATGAGCACCTGATGTCCTTTGCAGTTAGCCGTGGTGTCTTCTTTTCCGTTTTGGATTTCTTCCTTAGATTGTTTGTCTCTACATAGCTGTCGAAGGCCTTGGCCATCTTTTCGAAGTTCTGCAACATCCCATCTGAATAAAAAGAACATATCTCAGAGCCCAGCATTCACCATGATGTACTACAGGCATTTCCACAGTCGCCATCACACAGGCTATTTCCTTTCTGTTGGGTAAGGTGGGGGCGACGATGCCGCCCTGAGCAGGTGGCAGCATAGTCACGGTTCCCAACTATCAGAAGGGGAAACAAATTCACAGCAACCATGGGCAGTTCGATTGACGCCAATGGAAACATCAAACACCAAAACCACTGTTTCATTCGAATGGCGCTGCAATGAGCTGAGCAATGCTGCTCATTTTTGTTGCTCATGCAACAGAGGAGCACTGAGAGGCCCACTACACTCCCACAGGCGAATGCGCATTGCATGAATGTTGTCCAGCCCTTTGACCTCTCCCTGCCTTCGCTATGCTCACTGGTGGACCAAGTCTGGAGTACAGCCTGATACAAGGCTTGGTACTTGTATGCAGGAACAATGAAGGTGAACGTGCTTCAAACTGATGACTACGTTGGATCCTTCAAGTGCTGAAATATTTTGTTACAAAGAAAACAACAGTAAGAAAGAATGGCAAACACAGGCAAATCATTGCGTCCTCTCTCTGATGATCTCCTGTTTAGGCACGCAGCCACTTTGGACCAATCTGCTGGTGGCACATGCCACCCACACAAACATAAGCCAAATGGTGCACAGCCTTGATGTCAGCCTGAAACAGCTGCTCGGAAATCTCTTGCACTGTGGCTTTTGGGCACATGTTTTGAACAGAAGCCAGCTTACTAAAAACAGGACAGCACCCCAGTCTCGCTTGCATAGGCTTGCATCACCTGGGGCTAGTCCGCATGGGACACACTCTTGCTGTGAGTTGAGTATGAACCAAACTGGAAAAAAAGGGAAAAAACATCAAAATGGCACATGCAACTGTGGTCTGCAAGGGTGCACAGCCGCCTACAGAGCTTAAACCTGCCTGCCTACGCCTCTGGTCTCTATCACTATTTAGATTGTCAGTCATTTTCAGGCCGCCTGTCAGTGCATGGTGCGATGGGCTGCTTCAGACATTCAAAAGAGCTGTTCATCACCTTGTAGGTCCAAGCCCCCACTTTGTTGAAGGGACATGAGCAATCAAAGCAAAGTGGCCCTCAATCCACCAAAGCAGCCAAACAGCCTACCTTTAGCGCTCCTTTCGATGAACGTCCTCAGCACAAAATTGACGGCAGCGATATAGACAATCTGATAGTCCACCTTCACTGTGCACCAGCCGTTTCCGATCGACTCCACCTGGTACATGTTTATTGGGCGGAACCTGTCGCAGTACGGCGGCGTTGATATGACGCACACCTCCACAACGAGCCGTTTACTGGGCACGTACTCCACACACCGCTGGCATTCCTCTGTGTTGAAGGGACTTGGGTGCAGCGAGATGCCTGCACTCGTGAAATGGACCTACAAGGCCACCAGTGCCTGGATGTTGTGATGGGCACACCGCTGGAACCTTTCACTCCCATTGCGCTTTCAGGGGTAGGACTTTGCTTCTTTTCCTGATTAGTCACCGGAACACATGCAGGTGGGGCAGTTGGGCCATAAATGCACATTCCAGATTCATGCACACTGGAGCTCAACAGTCCACCTGTTGCCTGGTAGACACAAGGACACTGTTTTGTCGATGGCATCACAATCATGTTCTGAATTTGATGCAGACAAGGGGATCCTCAGCGGAAGTTTTGGGCTCCTCAAGCACTTCAACAATGCAAGTTCTGCTGATGGTCAATGCTTCTGTCTCACCTCGTGTCATTTGGGACAGACTCCCTTTGCACAGGAGTGGGAACAATCCACAATGGCATGCATTCGTTTCCAGCAAGAACAATCACCTTTGAAGATTTTTTCAGGCCCCAAAGAACTAGCAGGAAGGGGCAACTTCGAAATACAATCTTCCCAATTTTCTAGGACTACCACCCAAACAGCTGCCAGTGCTTGTCAGTATCTCCTTCAATGTATCTGTATTGCCAAGTAAACTCCTGCAGCCATTAGATGTGCAATCGGCACACGGAGCAACACAGTAAGAAGTACTAAACCTTACCTAGGGCCAAATGCAGTGCTTGGCGATGGCAGCCAAAGTCATGGGCCACCATTGAGTGAGCATGGGCATTCGCAAAAACTCTTTGAGCTGGCTTTGGATGTGACTCAACCACTTTGTTGCAGGTGAGATGCTGACAGTTGTCACCAGATGACCTGGTGCAATAGCCTGGGGTCGATGTTCAGGCTGTGGTGGCACACTTTGTCACCAGCTAATCTCTGCACAAGCTCCTTGTGTGCAGGCAACAGGCAGTTGAACGTGTTGCTTCAACAGAAAAGCCACAACTCTACACAGCAGTAATTGAGCCAGGTACAGGCATTTCATCATGCTCTTTGGCAGGCAAAGCAGCATGTAATGATGTGCACATTATTCACATATCCCTAAAAAAGCCCTTTGTCTTTGTGGTCGTGCCAGACAACAGCCTAACAGACATCAGCAGTCTATTTTCAACACAAATTCACCCATGTGCCCGTTTGGCCATGCGATGACAGCACGCTGGCCGAATGGGGATGTGCCCACCTTCCTGATTAGGCCCCTACGCGGCCGGCTGTTGACATAGTCCGCATCCTGCAGCTGCACTGTCCAGTCATAACCGCTGGGCAGTGATGGCAGATCCCGGAAGTCCTCCAACCAAGCTGTCTTTGCGATGTTTGAGTCCCTTCTCACTTTGTGGAGCTTTTCCTATTCATTGGGAGAAGATTGCTCTCAGGGAATATCCCCACACCTCTGTAAGGGGCCCCATGAGTGCTGGCACTAGTCATCTATGTGCTGCTCTCTGCTGTGTTTCACCACTGTTCACTCAGATAACTCCACATCATCTCTCAAAGCATGGATCAGAGTCTCTCAAACGCAGTGGCTCTGAGGTGGTGCAGTAATAGCTTGTACACTTTTTCCGTTTCTTGGAACAAATCTATCACCTCAGAGAGACCCTGTGTTGTACCCATATGTTCATAGCTAAAACTGTAACTGTGATATTTTGGGTAGTTTCGTGACATCCAGCAAAAGGGCCACAATTTAGGCAAAAGATTGCAAATTGGATGTCCGCCAGACGAGGCAAGTTTGATTCGGACTGCTATCCATGCACACCTACTCTTGAACCACCGGCTGGGCAAGGGGCCTGAACAGAGCGGCGGTGAGGACGCATTTCCGCAGTCCACTTAAGCCAACTCGAAACGGTCGAGAAAGTAGAACCCCTCCAACGGCAACTTGCAGGGCTTTCCTCACCAATTGCAGACACTATTTCTGCAAGCAGTTCTGAGACCCCCGAAAACAACCCACAGCGCCCCGCTTGCAAAAGCACGCGGCAACAAAGACACAAGGGATGAAATGACGCCGAGATCCCGCAGTCCGCACCCGTCGAATTTTGTCATCAACAAACCGAAGCGATGCCATGCGATGGCCCCTTCTCTCATCATCCCCACCACGCAAGAATCGCCACGCCAGACTCCTCTCCACCCCACCACAGCCCGCGCGCGCACCGACCCCGGAGTAACCCACCTGAAATTTGGCCTCCGGCGCGAACAGCATGTCCCGCACCTTCTCCACCGAGCACCTCAGCTCGCAGTGCAGCAGGTTGCCCGACTTGTCAGCGTGCCGCCACCGCGGCCAGAAGGCGTCAAACTGTTCCGCCGTGAATGGCGCCAGCGCCAGCCCCGGCATGGCTGCCCGGCCACGGCCCGGGCGCCGCGGCGCCGGCACAACGAACTGCGGGGCCGGCAGCCCCTTGCGCAGACAGCGGCCGGGCGGTGACCTTGGTGGGGGAGAGCGGAGGCATTTGACAGGTCATGCGGATGACTGATGCCCAGTGGTGTCATCTGAAGGCCTAGGCCTGGGAACATTTCCAGCAGGATTCGCCCATGTGGGGTGTTCTGATAGGCATACTAGTATACGCACAGTACTGTGCGCTTACAAACGAACTGCTCTCCGAAGGATGAAAGGACAATGACAATCTCTTTCTCTCACTGGTCTTCACAGGTGCACACTGCAAAGGAGACTCCCCTACCCTAACCGTCAAACCTGCCCAATGCTGACGCCCAACCGCCCAATCCTAAGAATCCACTGTCCCCGTCCCCGTCGCTGCATGCGTGGTCTGCACAGGGAACAGCGTAGCTAGACCTGCGCCCTTGCGGATGGAGTGGCTCGTTTAGGATGATGGCGGGTTGAGAAACCTCAAGATTGGCTGCCGAGGGGAAGACAGCCTGGAATTAAGTGTCTCGCCATGTACACAACGCCAGTATTGTGTCCACAAATCCCGTCGTCGACCCACGCCTTCTGGATGGAATGTCACTTGACGGGACATCGGAATTGCGCGGAATTCAATCAGATTACCAACTCCGTGAGCTCATGACGGTCCAGTGCGTCTCATGATCACAGACCAGATTTTTCGCATCGGCGCTCCTAAAGAACACCTAAAGAGCCATCATTGATGGGACACAAGGTAGGGGTTGGATCAACTCCCAAGGAAGCACGGCTTATGATGTTGCACTGACAGAAGGGACGATGCTAAGATTTCACTAACGAGGCGCAATGATAGAATCGACAAGAGAACAATCGAATATACTACTGCAGTAAGTCATTACTGGTGAAGAATTGTTGGAGGAACCACGTGGGGTATGCAACGTATGTATGGGCACACACATAGCACCACGTTTGAACCCTGGAAGTGCTCCAGATCCCACTGTGGGGCGCAGGGGGGAGAATCCTTGGAAAGCGAATGCCACGGGCATGCTAACTGCTTATTCTAACCTTGGGAGTTGGCACCCTTTTGCTGTATCCTCCAGCATTGGGTTCAACGGCCAGAAAACCAGACCTTCCAGAGGATGGAAATCGTGCCATGGCGCAAGCTTACAAAGACCAGAATACAGTTTCCGAAGCAATGAACATCGCGTTGCAAAAGCACACAGACTGCTGCTGACCAACGTTACTGTCCGTACAATGCCAAACTTTGGGGATGCGGCAACCCGTCCTTGCATAGGGGATAAGGCACGCACAGCCTTCCATGCTGCAGTTCCACAACATCTGGACATGTCCCTCTGCAAAACTCAACAATGTATCCACTACATTTCACACACTCCTGCAAAACTGAACCTTCGCATCCTTGGCCTACAGAGGGCCACAAAGCCATTACTGACATATGGTGAGGAACACTAGGAATGTTGTACCACCTTGCACCACCAGCATTAGATGGAAATCCACACCAACATATCGACATCCGTTGACCACTGGCGCTCGTGGTCGAACCAGCAATGCACAAACCCAGTGCACATAATGACTTGTCAGTGATCAAGAGAGGCAGCAGTGCCTGGCCACTTGTTTTCGATCCAAGCCTGGCCCATCCAACTGCGAATCCCTGCTGGTGCCTCGAAATCGTTCTGTCCAGAAGAATGTGTCACATTTTGGTAGCACAGTCCTCCACAGGACCGCGGAATATTTGTCAAGTTTGCACGCCTAAGAGGGAACCGGTCTGCTGACCAATCCCGCCTCTTTGTCCCATTGGCTCCCACTCTTCACCTCGTCAATCATGGCCCCCCCAACATCTTTCTCAGACTTCACTATGTGATCAACGATTCCATACTCCAGGGCGTCTGCGGGTTGCATGTAGAGAGGCCGCTGCATGTCCTGTACCCCAGGACATATGGTGAGGTGATTGGAGTGCACAATGGGCACTAACAATATGATGCAACACACAAAAGGCTGTTCCAGGTCAAATGGCCCAAGCAGTCTCAATATAGCCCGGTTGCATTGCCACGGAAGCCATAACACAATTCAGTGCACACAAAACAACTATAGTGATTTCAGATTGACGTTCTATACAAGTTGGCCAGCCACAGTCACCTTCTCAACAAAGACTGCCTCCAGCCACAGGGTTAGCACACAAGCAAGCAAGAGCAACCAGGCCTCGTGAGCACACAAGCAACTGATCAATCAGTGAGTGTAACGCGAGTGAACCAGTCAGCAAGCCAACTGTGCACATTCCGCTTGGTGTACTATGCTGTGCTGCAATTTACTGCTATACAACTGCTGCACTACACCTCACCTTGTCCAGCTTTTCCATGGAGTGCCCCGTTGTGTGGTGTAGAATGTTCAGCAGCGCCTGCTTCTGGGCAAGGACTTCCCTCCACTTGATTTGGATCTCGATGGCCTGCCTCTGGCCAGTAGGTGGCACTCGTGGCTGGTGCAGCATGGCTGAATGCAACCACAGGCAGGCCCCATCATCAGAAGCAGCCACCAACTAAACTGCTGTACTACTATTTCGACACCCAGTCCACAGACGTGTTGCCAACTGACAGCAATAGCTATGCAGCATGTGGCATTATTGCCTTAGTTTAGTGCATATTCACATGTTGAAGCAAGTTCAACAGCACCTGTTTCAGCAGAAGGAGGAAATCCAAATCTATTTCCTGAGAAAAAAAAAACTGTGCAGCATGCAGTGATGTGGAAATGGCACTAACACACATGCCATTGTTCGTCAGTTCGCAAGGTGTCGAAGAAATTGGAACAAGCATTCCCCACAATGTTCCTCATTCCATTAGCGGATCAAGCTGCTGTGCGCAAGCACTGTCCGACACAAGTCAATGCACACAAGTCCTCTTGGGGCAGGAGAGAGTACCACTGCATTCCTGTGCAATGTGCATTCCAGCATGCAGACTTTGCCCACCTGTCTGTTTGTCTTTAAATGGTGTCAACCAAAAACGTTTTAAATAACGTGGCATTTATGTGATGCATGGAGGTGCTGCTGCATATGACAATGTGCTGGGCACAAACACCAGCAAGTGCTGTGTCTCTGCCATGGGATAGAACTTCAATTTGTCTAGCACAGCAAGATATACCCCATGAAAGTGTGATTTATGTGCCAGCTGGAAGACTGCCAACACATCAATCACCACATCATCGAACCTGCATGTTGTCTGTGCCCAGCTGTGATGAAGTATTGGGGAAAAGCAGTACTGCTTGCAGTGCTCAAGCGCTGCAATGGCAACACGCCAGAATTTGAAAGAATGCTATAAGTTTGTGCCCTCAAGGCCAACTAACAGGGAACATATGATAAAACCTAGTGCTGCAATTTGCACAGTAATTGCCCATTTCCTTCCGTACTTGCTTCGATCCATTCTTTTACTATTCTTGTTTCCATGCATCCATTTCTCCAATTCCATTTTCACCCACCTGTTGCATGTGGGAGCATGAACCTCTTGCCCCTAGCCCCTGCTGAGAGCAGCATGCAAGATTGCCCAATTGCGACTCCCACACCCACAGTCTGCACCTCGTTCTTGACATAGCACATCGTGTCAAATATCGCCGTCCCTTCCGTCTCAAATCCCACGGTCTCTCCGTCAGCCCGTGTCGTCCCTGAAGAGTTTATATACATGTAGATTGGCTTCACTGTGTCTCTGTACTGCAGATACAGGAGCTCCCCAATGATGAGCTCCGTGACTGCAGGTACCAGCTGCACCAGAAGGAAAGCCTGTGTTTGAAAATGTGTTTGAAGGTGGCAATGAAGCAGATACACCAAAGGAAATGAGCAAATCGTATGCACCCTCAATGGTAGCCAACCTAGTGGTAGCCTCACCACTAACACTGCACTACCACACAAGGCACGATGTCAACTGACCTTGGGTACAGAGGCCAACATTCAGGGGGACAATTGTTCTCTGTTCTTTTCCGTAACTTCATATATATTACATTCATTTCCATTGGCCAGCGCCAGCCCCATGAACAGAATGAGCTTCCCCGTTGTGGAAGAGTTGGAAATTCGAAAAATGGCAACACAAAGGTGTTGGGATTCTACTTCCCACTGGACCTGATTACCAACAGCAGCAACAAACAGACACACAACCGTGGCACAACATGCAGGACAGGCAACCCAATGAAACGCCTGTGGCTTATTCTGTGCTCTGAAACTGGCTGGTGGTCTGTATTCATTCACTCAAATGCGCACTACATGCACAGATGCATCTGCACGTATGACTTCAGCAAATTGCAGGACATCATGAGGCACAAAGCCCAGCACGTTTATCTGTGGTCAGCGTCCTCCTGAAACCTGCTTGATACTCACTGGCATGCCTAGGTAGCATATCCGGCTGTCCAGGAGAAGCGACGGCAGGTCGGGGGGAGGCGTCTTTGGGTTGTGGCCATCTGGGCTCGCAGAGACCTGTGCAGGGGCTCCAGAGGTTGCAGAGATGTCTATGGGAAGGCCATCGTGCGGCGTCCAGAGAGTTGAGTCTCCTGCGCAAGGAGAGGCCGGCGGGGTCGCCAGGACATGAAAACTGTGCAGCGGATTCAGCTGGCCATTAAATGGACGCTTTTTTCCAAGTACAATCATGTAGCATAGCCCATTCTGCCCTCCCAATCTTTATGCAGGAAGCATCAGCACGGAATAACGCACGTCAGGCGGTGCCACAGCTATTGCCCCACCGTAGCTCAACAACGGATTCAAGAGACGCACACGTCCGATCAACACTGGCCAGTTGTCGCGCAATGCACTTGTGTAGATACCTCCCCCTCTGCACCGTGCCTCGATTCGCGTCGAACTGGCCACTGTGAGCGAAAGAGGATGTCTGGAGCATTCATAGGACCATGCCATGCGCTGGCTACCTAAGGCAATGCCTGCGCACCTTGGCTTTGCGCCCCGGCAACAATCCGCCTGCACCGTCTCCTCGCGGCCAACCGCCGCCCGGAAAGGCCGCCTCTGTGCCTGGAGAGCGGCGGCAGCCCGCGCACGCTGTGAGCACCTACTCGATCTGCGAACGGAACTTGGCAGGTTGGTGTCTTCATGGCCAGGGCAGCGCAACTGGCCCCGCACCAGGTCAGTCCTTTGTCGTTTAGCCGAATGTCCGCACTGGACTTTTCATGATAGCTGGGGAGTGCTGTGTCAAAAAAAAAACTTGTGGTTGAAAAATGCTGCTTCGTTATTGGAGCGGTTCTCGTGATTGGGCTTCGCCGGAGCGTGGCGCAGCAAAATTAATCCTTGCATCGAAATGGGTGGCCAGGAAGGACATGAAGCCACACCTGCCCAGGCGACGGTATGAGACGCGTCAGAGGGCACATGGCAGCTGGACATGGAAGGCTGATGAGTGTGAAGAATGGGAATGGGGTGGGGGATAACCGACAGGTAGGAAAGCCTGTCTGATGTGATTGCTGTATGGCATTTCCCACAATGGCACCCCTGAATGCGTGGAATGTTGGAAAATGCCCTTGTGCTGAGGTAAATCTATTCTCATTCGTGTAGTGTTCCCTTTCTTGAGATTGCCAGCATGGCTAGTGACGCCAGTTACAGTTCTGAGCTTACTGGGGTCCAGAGGGTATCTATGACCGAACCCCACCACCCCACACCCCCACACCCCAACCGCACGAGTGGGCATTCACCACCATGGGATTCAGATTAGGACAACCAGTGCAAAGGGGTGGAGGTATAGGATGCGATTAAACGCCCAATGGGTCCAAATCAGGTTCTGATCCTTGCAGAAGTCAAACACAGCAGCTGCACTTGCCACATGCACTGCCCTTCATAATCGCAGGCACCACTCCAGCACTCCACACACACCATGGGCATATGGGCCAAAGGACAGATTGGCATTCCCCTGAAATGCCACCGGAGGAAGACAATGGCGATGCATCCCTTCTCTAGGCCTGGCATCCAGCATGCCATCGAATGCACTCCACAAGACAAACGACACAGTGGGACCTTACATCGCTATCACATTGGACATGCACCGATGCTCTCGACCCTGTTGCGGCAACGTGCTCTGTCACACTGCCGCACAGTTGCCAGCGACAGACTGCCCACCACCTCACACGAACCCCACCAGGCTAGCCTCTCTTTATGACCTTGGACGCAAGTGCCACACCCAAACTTGGCACTGAAAGCCACACCAGCATTTCGATCAGGCAAGGACCAGGAACATTGTCCATCTCACCTGCATCCCCTTCATCTCAATAAGATCAAGACGCAAGCGGCACGCTCTCCACGATTGTCAGCAAAGCATGCAAGCAAGGACCGCCTTACCCACACGTCTGTTGAATTGTCCACTGCAACAGCCTTGCCGACAGACCTATGAGTGCATGGCCACATGTCTCTGGTTGCCTACCTCGCTGTCTGACATATTTCTGGACAACACTGCCAGCAGGCTCGCCACTCAATTTGGTCCGCTGCTCTTGCAGTAACCCCTCCTAAGCCTATCCAGCCCAGGACGAAATATTCCAGCCTTCTGGCCTACCTTCAAATCAAAGTTCTTGCCCTGGTCCCCAAGGGGGAAGCAACCATGGCATTGACTCTATTGACAAATGCGGACGGGCGCTGGCAGCTTCACAGTCCTCATTTTACTTGTCCATCAGGATTCACCCCCGCCAACAAGTGCCACCAGGACGCTCAGCTGCACGCAATGGGCCCTGTGAAGCATGGTGCATGCCCAATGTAGCCACCGTACAGACACAGGGCCCAACAACATTCAGGAGAATTTGTTTTTTGTAGCTACCCACCTCATCTGACCTGACTTTTCTGCAGCACTGGCAAGCCAGCTTTGCAAGGAAAACACAAGCACGCCTGACCACAAAAGACACAGGACGCTGCTTACTATCCTACCCATGAGTGTGCTCTGGGGAGCAGGTCGCCAAAGGGGTCCCAACAAGCAAGCAGTGCCATTATGCAGGGCACTGCAACGTCGATCGGTGAAAGAATAGAAATGAATCAAATTAGAATCCTTTGTGCTCTGTTTCGCTTCTTTTACCGTTCTTGGCCCCTAACCACAAGCATGTATTCCAGCTTTGACCACACTGGATCCCCTGGCCCCTCCCGCACCCCTGCACAACGTGCCTACCACTGAACCTTCCTTTCTCGTTCCATCTATCCACGCCTCCCTATTTTGACTAACCCTTTGCCATGGCACCGCCAGCGCCATCGATCCCCCACTGCCACCCACCAACAAAACTGCGACACTGCTGACCTCAAAGTACACACGCACAGAGTATTGCGCAAAGTACACACGCACAAACGAGGCAACTGTGCGACATGTGACATTACAAGGAACAATATACACAGGGACACACACGAGGCGGGGGTGGGGGCCGGGACAGCCCCACCATTCCTCGAAACACACACGGCACGTCAGACAGCGTCCTGACCTGACCCAGACACTTCACACATGCACCACAGCACTCCCACTGTACGGACAGCGACTAACTACCACAACAACGTTCACAGCACCGACAACTGACCCAGGGACCAGATCTACATGGCGTTGCCAAAGTGAAAGCCTCCCTGTGGGGCACCGGCAGCAGGGCCGCCATTGCCAAAGGCATATGTGCCTTGGCCCACATCAAGCCCAGGGGCAAGATTCTCCACCTCCCCATCTTCAAGCTCGAAGTACGTCTCCAGGAGGGACACAGTCTTGTCATAGATGTCCTCGTTCTGGTGCTCTTGCAGCTGCTCGATCTTGTCCAGACCATCAGCATCCTCAATCTGCTTGGTGAACGGGTTGGTGCCACCATTCATGGGCTTGTCCTCCTCACCCACCTGCACACATCCAGAGCATCAGTATAGGATCAAAGACAACGCAGGTGAGGCAACAATAGCTGGCATGGGTTGGCATGTGCTGGCTGGAAAGGACAGGAGGCAGCACAATCCCTTCAAAACATGTTCCAGTGCAGGCAAGGACCGGGATTGTGCTGCCATGGGAGCGGCACAGGGTAAGGCACACAAGGCATGTTGTTGTTGTTGTGTCCAGACACACTTGGGGGTACTCATACAGGTAAGATCATAACAGCTATCATGGCTTGCTTTCGTCATGTATCTTCGAATTGTGACAAGCTACAGCTTGGATTCAACATATATGGCATGCACGTACTTCAATTGGGCAGCACCATAAGCTCACCTGTGTTTGTGAGTGTATCATTTTGACAGCAAAACCCAGCAGAACTTGCCTGGTGGGACAGAGATAACAGGCCCTTCTGGGACAGAATGCCAATATCACAATACATGTCCTTCAACACTGGGGCAAGTATGCACATGAAACCGCATTTGTCCAGATCTCTGAAACACTTGGGGGTCCACCTGTATTTTGCCAGGCAGCACCACTCACCTTCAGGATGTTCTCCAAACCCTCCATAGCCACCATCACGATCCGGGCATCCGCAGCAGTCAGCAGGTCACACAGGGGCTTGATGCACCCCTGGTTCACCAGGAACTTGATCTGGTCAGGGGTGCCGCCCGAGGTGGCGTTGCTGATCGCCCAAGCCGCTTCCTTCTTGATGTCAAACTCGGCCGTCGACAGGAGGTGGATCAGGGGAGGGATGATGTTGGCATCAATCACAGCCTGGATCTGCTCCTGGGTCCCTGCAGTGATGTTGGAGATGGTCCAACAGGCCTCCTTCTTTATGCTCTTCTTGTGGCTGGTCGTTAGCAAGTTCAGCAAACAGGAGAGGGCACCACAGTTGATGATGACCTGGGTCTGGGCATCGTCCCCCGTGACGATGTTGCCCACAGTTCGGAGGGCAGGGACGAGTACGCCTGCTGTTGGGTGCCTGAGCACAAGCAGGCCGCAGGGATCACAGCATGGCAACAGAGGGGCAGGCAAGACAACCCAATACAAGACAGCAGAGCAGCGACAGCCTACAATATGACAGCCAAATAACGGCTCTTGTCTCCCACGGCAAGGGCACAAAGAAGCTCGAAGATGCAAGTGATCGCATTGTATCAATGCATTCTAATGCCCTACAACTTTATAGAAACAGACCACAGCAACATGCAGGCCACATGAACCTTCTCCAAGCACTGACACACAAGACAGGGTATATGTCCAGTGCCTGGAAGTCATGCTTGCAATGGCCACAGCAGTAACAGCTGCCAAAAGCCATGGATGCTTACATGAGCAGCTCCACAAGCCTTCGGCACACACCAGCCTGGATGACCTTCTCTATTTTGTTGTTGTCCCCATCGGAGAGGTACGACAGTGCCCAACAAGCGTCTGTCAGCACTTCTTCGTCGGTGCTGTGAATGTGCCTTGCCAATGCTGGCAGGGCGTGCCGGGTCTGTGGACAAGATGAGACAGCTGTGAATCCCGGTGGCATTGGTGTCCAAACAGCACAACTTGTGGTGCTAGCAGCAATTTGCCCAGTGCAGGTTGTGAAAATCAGCTGGCTTAGGCTTGGGCATGTTCAGGAACATTCGCATCTTCATTGCTTCTCTCACATTCCAACCACAGTCACAAGCTGACAGCAGTACCACTGCAACAAATGCCAGCAGGGGATGAGAGAGGCTTATCCCCCTTCCGACCAACAGTAACTGTTGCTTCCTTCGACTGCTTAGCAGCAGCCTGGTTGACGTTCATCGGATGAAAACACCTTAGCTGGTCAACACTGAGCCCAGGTGACAGGCAGGAACTGGGGGTCCCATGACAGTGGCCACCTGCATGCTCACGCGGTGACTTACCAGTTCGAAGTCTGGAGCAGGCTTGCCCCTGCAGAAGTTTGAGAGGGTCCAGGTCGCATTTCGGAGCATGGAGAGCTTGGAGGTCTCCTTCAGTTGCTCAAGCAGGGGCCACAGCGCGCCATGCTGCAGCACCAGGTCACGGCATTTCGGCGAGTCCCCGGCGATGTTCCCCAGAGCCCACACCGCCTGTCCAAATGAAGCAGACACCCGCTTCAGCCTAAGGCACGCTTCTTCCGGGCCCAGATCCGGCAGCAGGCCTTCAATAACCACCAATCCAACGCCAAATGCACTGGTCCTCGATTAACTGCAGCTCAGGACACACCAAAGGCTATCGTGTGCTTGCGATGATGGGTTCCACGATTGTCTTGCCTATGAACCCAACACCCCAACCCATTCCACCACACCCTCACCCCCTGACCCAGTGACCCCTCCCCAATGCTCCCCTTTTCTGCTACGCCACCGGCCCCGCCCCCGGGCTTGCCTGTTCCCGGACGTCGTCGTTGGTGGAGCTGAGCAGCTCCACGAAAATCGGCACGGCGTTGTTGTCTATCACCACCTTCGTGTGTTCCGAAGTCCCCGACGCCACGTTCGTCAGCGCCCAGGCCGCCTCAAACTGCAACACGGGCGCAAGGCCAGGCTCAGCGCGCGGTCATGCCGCGGTGACGCAGGGAGGGCATCCGCGGCAGCGCAGGAACAAGCAGCGGGCCCCCACCTGAAGCTTCGGGAAGTCCTGGCACCGCAGAAACGTAACGAAGCGGGGGATGACGCCCTGCTTGATCACCTCCTCGATCGGTGGGTTCCTCTCTGGGCGCACATTTGGCACGAGCAGCCGATCAGCGGGGCTGGAGGGCGCGTGGCCGAAAGCGGACGATCCGCGACGGCGCAGCACTCTCGCGTGGGAAGCTCGGACCGCGCGGTCCGCCAATCGCCGGCGGCAAATCCCGCCGCCTCACGCCCCGGCCAACCGGCAGCCTCCGAGCATCCCAATCAGCCCGGCAGGAGAAGCGCACGAAACGCGCATGACCCAGCCCCGGTTCGCGACATCCCCCGCCAAAGCGGATCCAATCCCGCGGGCGCCTCGCGAGGCGGTCGAGACGGTCCGCGGGCGCGGCCGGGGCGGGTGGGGGAGGGGGGCTGGCGTGTACCCAACCCCGCCGCGCGGGGCAGCGCCCGGTTACCTAAAGACAACAGCTTCCTGAACTTGGTGGTGGCCTCGTACTGCTCCTGCGGGTTCTCGCTCCACACGCCCGCCACCATGGCTGGCAGCTCGTCCAGCTGCGATCGCAGGCGGCCACAAAACCGGTAAGCACGGTCCGCCACCCTCCGCCCCGCAGCCAGCTCCTGCCTCTGCACTCCCACCCCCATCTCTCACCATTTTGGCTCAGTCTCTGCCGCTGGGACAAGGGTCTGCCAGCCTGAGCCAAGCCGCCGGCTGGTCCAGGTTGACCATCCGCTTCTTTTGCAGGTTCTCATCCCGCTTGTTCTTCCTCAGCGCCACAATGTTGTTCTCCCGCCGTCGCCGCCCCTCCTCCGCGTCCACGCCCTTCTTGAAGCCCTGCCGCCGGCGGCTGCCGGCCTCGGGCCGCAGCATGGCGACGGCCACCGAGGGCTGGCTCCTCGCGACCGGGTGGGCGGCCTGCACGGGGGCCCCCCGATTGGCTGCGGGAATATGTTGCTGGCGGGGGCTGGGGGCCTGGGCATTCGTGGCGCAACTGATGAGGGAGGATCGAGTAAATAGGCACCCCGGTTGGTGCGCTCCAATGTCGGAAAAAAATGCTGGCGGTGTCTTGGCCGAGGCTGGAAGGGAGCTGCCTTGCACCCCCCATGTGGCCGCTCCATGAAATTGGTCGATCTGTCTTCCGTGAAGATCCCTTCTTGTTTCGACACCCTAAGCCTTAAAACACTGACCTAATGACCCTCGTTGGCCTTGTCAGCAGAAGAAGAAGGAATCCCCATGGAAAAGGCAAGAGGACTGATATATTCTTGGTCCGTATATCACGGAAGATAGGGCTTCCCCCAACCCACACGTTGAGCATCAGGACTGGCGTCAAGAGCCCGGGGCCATTGTCTTGCATAACCCCACACTACCTTACGCGCCCTCCACGTTCCGCACCGAGCCAATGAATCATTAACGCCTCCACATTGAATACAAATCTAAAATATGACGCCAATCACAGCAAAAGCGGGAGGACGTCGACATAGCCTTTTGCAACTTCCTGCACTGCATCGCTGCATCTTTTGGTAGTGAACGAGGATGTTCCATCACGGGAGATGCATACCCCCCGCGCTGTGCAGCAGTGGCCATATTCAATATCGCCAGGGGCGTTATCTAATGGCCCCCACGCATGTATAGCATATGCTATACAACACCCCCCGCACTATCCTCGGCGATCTGCCGTAGATTCATGGCAGCACCACCATGATGGAACATGTCCTAGCAACTTGGGCCCCAGGGAAAACTGCATTCAGTGCATGGCACCAATGAACCAGACAAGTGGTGATGTGTTGGGTTGGCTTAGTGGGAGTGTGGGCGACTTGCAGGCATGCAAGGCGACTTGGCGGCGTGTTTCGCCAAAATTGATGCGGAGGGCGGGCGAAGGCGGCTTCCCTGTGGATGTTGCGTTCGTTGTTGATGCGGGTTCATAGTCGATTCTGATGTGGGAGCTGATTATTAGCAAGAGCGTTGTTGCGACCCGTCAGCAGCCGTTGGTTTCTGGAGGCTCTAGGGTCGCCCTGCCCTGCAGCTCAGCCGTTGGAGGTCGGCTGGCCTCTCCACCTCGGACAGTGGGCGTAATCGGGGCATGTCGATTGCGAGGTCGCGCGGTGGGCCCAATGCTCGTCGGGGATCGATCCCCGGGGCCTGCTGTCGGCGAGAGGTGGCGGCGCAATGGTGTGGCAGTTCGCTGGCTCGCGGGAGGCCAGAGAGTGGGCCAGAACGGTTACATGATTCACAACATGCGTGCGCAGAAATCCGCATGCGCGATGCCCGATCGCGGGTCCATTGCTGTCACATCAAGATAAGACAAATCAGGTGCACGTCCAGGCACATCGTCACCGTCCACCGTTCATCTACGATCGACTTAATGTCCTCTAATTCCAAGCATCTACCACCCGATCCCCTGGCCCAAAGTACTACGATTTTAGGAGGCCATATCTTTGCCGTTTCTTAATGGAATCGGGCGTTTAAAAGCTCGTTGGAACCAAAAAGCTCTAAAAACACCCACAAAAAGGTCAATATCCCAGATTACGTAATTCCTACTCCAGAAAACGCCAATAACTGCCTAACCCCAAGTAACCACGTCACAAGCGTTCTATGATTTGTTAATTGGGTTTGGTTGTGTTCATCGTTCAGGGGAGGGGTGCATTGGCGGAGACATCGTTGTTTCGATGGGCATGTGTTGTTTGTATTTTGATACTCAACAAGCGGGTTCTTTTCTGAAGAAACTAGGAATCAGTGTGCACGACTGACCCATTTTGGTAGTGTACCGATACCATCGATACTGAGATACTGACCTAGCTTGGAGGCTCACAACTAGCTGCTATTATCCATAGGTATA